CAATCAGCAGGACTGAGAGGCCTAGTCTAAGGTTGAAATACCGAAACTTATCGAAGACACCCATGATGATTATTTGAAATATCATCTAAGAATGTATAAGGCCATTTGGCATGAATAGCAACGGATTTGTCCAGATTTTAAACGCATCCATCGTATGCCATGCCTCTCGCCTCAATTAATTGAAGTCCCGCTCTTCATAGACGCATGCCACCGAGACTCGCAAGGTTTGAGAGCACGACATCTTAGTGATTATCGCTCAATTGACTGCCGAGCCAATGATTGCAAAATCCAGACCTGAATTTTTCGATGGAACGATATCTTGTTTCGAGACTTACCGTTAGAGACGACGTGTAATGAGTAGTGTCCGTACTTTCTCCACTTTATGTCGGTGACACCTGGCCGGACGGGCGAGATCCGCGGCTATCGGGCTTTACGCAAGTGTTTAATCACTAACTATGATGCAAATGATCCTGACTCAGTGGAAGGAGACTTGGTAATTATTTAATGAAGTATGGTGATGGTTGGGACAAAAGTTTGCAGGAGTCTTTATGACACATATCGCTTGTAAATAGTCTTGATCGCATCATCAATCCGGTGCAGAAACAACAAATCTAACTTGCCTCATACGTTGGAGAGAAAAAAAAAAGCGCCTATATTGAGGACTGAAGTCTCTAGTGTGACTCGGACTCGGGTTATGATTAACATATTTTAAGACTGACATAAGACGCCAAGCATATATACACAGGATGTCATTTCGGTATAATGTTCGTTATGAATTACATGAGTTTTGTTCATTCTCTTCTGCAAAATTCCCAATCCTACAATGCCACTATAACACAAAATTATGCCATCAAAGCACCTAACACCAGACCGCCAAAAGCTTTGGCAAATGCACCGGCACCATACGTGTCAGCCGCGGCGGCAGTGACAATCGAGCTTGTGGGTGTGGTAGTAGTCGTGCTTAATACCGTGGTTGGGGAAGGGGTCAGAGTGGGCGTTGATGTCTCTTCAGTTGAAGCAGGGATGGAGATGGATGGAGTTGAAAGTGAGGTCGTGGGCTCTTCGGTTGGAAGTGAGAACGATGGAGATGGTTCCGAGCTAGTTGTCTCCTCCGGAGGCGGCTCAGTGAAGGTACTCGTCTCCCCAGGTTCCGTGATGGTAGAGGTGAAAGTCTCCCCGGGACGGGTGGTCGCACCGCCGGGCCCTTCGCATGTTGCTCCGATGGGGCAACAGCCATATTCACCGTTGTCGCCAAGCCAACAGATGGTTGTGGCATCACAGCCTCCAGCGCCGTCAGGGCAACAAGTGTATGTAAGAGGGATACAACCGTCACCACAATCCTTCTCGCCCTGGGCTGAGCATGGTAGTTCAACTGTCTGGCGGCTCAGAAGAGCTGGGTAGTGTTGTGCCGCAAGGGCTGTCGAAGCAATAACGCTTAAGACAATATATTTGTACATATTGACCTATGAAAAGGTGGAACGAAAGACAGTAGAGTAATTGAGTCCTTGTCGCTTCTGACTGATGGCTTGGAAAGTGGTTCGAACACCAGATTCGCACTTCGGAGCTTTCAGGATTTTACACATATCTTATATCGACAGTCCGTCCTGCTCAATTTCAGCAATGGGGCAGATCGAAAGCTACTTCCGGGACTCTTTCCCCCGCATCACAGCCAAATGTAAGACAACCCAAGACCGCCACATGCATGTCATGAGATTTCAGGAGTAGCGTCCGCAGGTACGACGTGGTACAGGGCTTGGTGGTATCCAATGGCGAGAATGAGAGGCTGAAACTGGAGTATTCAAGTACCAGGTCTGCCCAACGAGTCAGCCTAAAAGTCTTGATAGGCACAGTTTTTAATTAAGCTGTGTTGATATTGCCTATTTTTGGGGAAGCTAGCGCAGGCAAGAGCAAGATGCTGGAATCAGGAGCCTCAGCTGAGGGCTAGGCGGAGTAATACGGCGTCATTGTTTACCCGACTCGATTTCAAGAAGTTGCTCAGCCCCTCACTCCCAAGCCTCGTCTCCCGGTAAGAGACTTGACATGCGATGTCTTCGAATGACGTTGAAATAATCGTACAATTTCACGATGGCTCCCGTCTGATAACCGGTATTTCCTGGTTGTCAGAAAATGATGGGTATCGGGCTTTAGACAGTCTGAGGTGTGGCGGATATTACTGGTTTGTGGGCTCTTCAATGCAAGCCACCAAGCCACCAAGCCAAAAGTACTTATGCAGGTATGCCATAGAGTTAAATTGCCCTTGGGCCTATATGTTATCAGGCCGGTACATTGAGACCAGCAATACACTTCGATATTCTAGATGCTGCTGTCTGGTTTATCTAGCCAGCTCTCTAGTTTATATCCATCTCTTGGAACAAACCTGGCCTGGAAGCCTCTCGGAGTGCCGACAAAAGCCAGACTCCTCAATCCAGCAAGTGGATCAATCTCATTTGCCGTCTTACCCTCAGCGGGAAAGATCTGAAATCGGGCGATCAAATGCAGAAATACAGTATAAAGTGCGTTCTGTGCAAGATGAGACGCGACACACATTCGACCACCGATTCCAAAGGCAAATTGATGAGCGTATTGGTCAGTCGAATTGGCCAACCAGCGCTCGGGAGCAAAAACATCGGGCTGAGTAAATAGTTCAGGATCTGCGAGCCACTGTCAATACACTACTTAACGTTTCAGGCATTGAAGTACTCGCCCCTATTGCAGGCCCATGTATTCAAGAATACCAATGTATTCGCCGGAATTGTTGCATTACCCCATGTTACGTCCGAGTACGTAGCCTTAGGCAACGCCAGTCGCAATACAACGAAGAAGCGAGAAATTTCTTTCGTGAGGGCGTCGATATAGTCGATTTTGGTCGATGCGTAAGCATTTGAAGGCATGTCAAGAACACCTGCTTCTTTGATGGCAGTGTAGGCTTTCTCCTGGATGTCTGGACGATGTGCTAGTAGTAAAATTGCCCAAGCCAAAGTTGGTTGGTTCGAGTCCGCACCCTGCGTGCAAATCAGTCAACTGGTCATCGTACTCTTGTGGCTGATATTGGGCATCACCAGGTTTGAGAAATTCGACTTACCGCCATCATGCTTAGACTGACACTGATCAATTCTTCTCTGGTTATAGTGGCTGATTCTGGATCTTTCAGCACCGCACCCTGGATGCATGGCTTGTCCTCCCCTCTTGCCACTTCGTCCTTGAGTCTGTTGAGTAGGGCATCATTGTAAGCTAATCTGCGGCGTCCAATGTCTGCAGCATGATTTTTGGGCGTGGAATTTAAGCCTAGTAAGCCAGCCAACGGCTCAAAGTATCGTAGGATCGGAATATAGTTGGCGTAGTTTTTGCCAGTGTCGCGGAACTTGGAAATCTCGGACTCGACATAGATAATTTCTGCTAACAAAGGATCATCTGACAGAGACTTGACGTTCGATACACGGGTACCGTAATTCAATGTCAGGCTCAAATTCAGCGAGAACCGCTTGACAGCAGGGCGGAAATCAATCTCAATGCCCCCATCGCGGCATTCACTGTACAGGTCCCTGAGAAATTCGCGCGCCTCCAAGTTCAAAATCGGGGCATAGCTTTCGACTCGGGGGCGGTTGAGGGCGCCGGCGGCCAACTTCCGACGACGTTTGCAGGAGTCGTCCCAGGGACTGGTGCCGATACTGGTAACTGTCTTGCTGACTTTCTTATGGAATACGTAGAAGGTGGGACGCGAGTTCATTGCCAGTCTCTGGCCGAGGAAGAGTTGCTTGGCGGCTTCGGCCGAATTGACGATCACAGCTGGAGTGTTACCCAGTTGAATCTGGAATACCGGACCGTAGGTACGAGCCCATCTTCGATAGACCTCCGCAGGGACCTCGTTACCAGTCTAGATTGTCATCAGTTTGAAGGCCAGGCTTGCAGCTACGGTAGGCGAATTGAATTACCTGAAAGAGGTTTCCCACAACAGGCAGCCCACGAGGCCCGGGAAGGTTCTTGATTTGACTACGATAGCGAACTATCTCATTCTGAATGAGGTAAATGAAAAGCAGCGCCAAAGGAAGCCCAATAAGGTATTTCAGGAGTGTGAGGGGATGTGCGATCGCCCCCAGCGTCACATCCAGCACTGCCATCTTGAGCACACCAATCTACTGCCTAGGCATTGACAAGTTAGCAGTAAGACCGTGAAGTTTGAATTATAAGCATCTTGCGACTTCTACTTCCAGGAATATAGAAAAGCTAGGATCCGCTTAGAATGAGTCTAGGCCGGATCTTTGATCACGACATTCAAGCCTATGAAAGAATCACCGGTAGATCGAACGAGATACACTAAGAGAATACCCTGGTCCCACCAGTGCCAGCAGAATGGAGATGATTAGGAATCTCTGACCTTTGGAACGCTCCTAGCTGTGGAGACCTTGATATGCGAGTAACGAGGGTGGGTCCTGTCTCTAATTCACCTACCTGGCTTACAATAGCAAAGTCACTTCTAACAAAGTCTGCGTGAAAGAGGGCGAAAGATAGGTAGTTCAGCTAACTGAGTTGTTTAAAATGACTCTTGGCCAAGAGTCCCTGTCTCTGGTGCGGTCCGTGATATTCTAGGCCGCAGGAAGTCCGAGAGCTGCAGTCCGCTCAACATGGTTAGGGAGGCGCGTGTCAAAACGCTTATTGCGCGCTAAAGCGGGAATAAGAGCCTTAGTTCTTGAACTCCCGCCAGCCACTTGAGCACGTCACTATCGCTTTAATGACGGCAGAGCTAGGTACGGTAAATCGGATGTGAGAGAGCTTATGCGAAATTCATTTCAACAAATGGCAGAATGCAATTTGGATGTATACCTGCGATTGACTCATGAAGCTCTGTAGTGTAGTTTTCTGGATGTGAATAAGTAGAGCTTCATGAACAACTCATAAAGCAGGGAATAGAGAGATTGACGGCAATGCCTGCGAGATTGTCGGTTTTTAAATGAATTATCAGGAAGAACAATGTAATTAACCTTGTACTAAACCTTCATCCTCTAGACGTTCTTCACTGCTGGGTTATGCTTCCCCTCGCCGTCAACATTGAACATGTAAGGCTTGTCCGCAGCTCCATCGGCAACAGCCTTTTCGCGACTGCCTCTTAGCATCCATGGCGAATCTTTCAGGCCTCTGTGCCACTCACGACCCGACCATTCCGCCTCAACGGGCTTTTCGCCTGTTGCTTGAATCTCCTTTGCCCTTCGTTCAATATTTTCCCACACGCGGAGAAGATTCTCGCCGGCGAATAACTTTATCTGGTCGTCCGTTGCGCCACGTTCCATAAGGAGCTCAACCAGGTCGGGAAATTTGGAGACGTCCTCTAGGCCCTTCGGCACGTGTGGTGTGCCTGAGAAGTCACTTCCAACGCCGACGCAATTCCATCCACATACTTCCGCAATATAAAAGATATGGTCGACAACATCATGAATGGTGGCATCTTCTGGGTGCTTCATATTGAGGAAGCGGTTGACAAAGACAGCCATGACAATCCCTCCATTCTTCTTGACGGATCTTAATACGTCATCGGGGACATGTCTGAGATGAGGCTCGACACTATATGCTCCTGAATGAGAGAAAATGACCGGTGCACGAGCAATGCTTAGTACATCACGCATAGTCTGGTGGGAGACATGGGATAAGTCTACCATCATTCCTAAGCGATTCATCTCCCTAATTGCCTCATAACCAAGCTCGTTGAGGCCGTAGTCTGACTGGCCAGCCGCAACTGTGCTGGCGGATGTCGCGAAAGCATTATCACTACATTATCATCAGCTCCGTTCGCGTCAATGCTCTAAGAGACAGTGAGACCTACCAGTTGTGCGTGAGGGTAATGTATCTCGCACCCAAATTGTAGAACTGCCGGATACTGGCGATGCTGCTCCCCACCTGGTGTGCACCCTCAATGCCAATCATACTGGCAATCCGTCCAGCCTTGAATGCATTGCGAGCACATGCTGCAGTATCACAGTATTGGAGATCCTTAGGGTGTTCATTGATAAACCGGCGACTAGAACGCATTCAGTTAGTATCACACTCTTGAGTACAAGGGAGAATGAATATGAAGATTTAAAATAGTTGTGTGTAATGAGAAGCATGCCAATAGTATAGGAGAGGCTTGACTAATTAGGAGAAGTAGAAGCTCACGTTACATCAATCTGCTCAAGAGTATCCCTTACGAGCCACTGGATTACATATATCAGTATAATGATTCCAACTTTGACTGAAGAATGTGAAACGTACCGTAGGATCATCAAAATGCTTTTGGTTTTTATAATCACAATCCACGTAGACCGACCAAAATTGGCCACCAACCATGCCCTCTCGCATCCGCAAGAGATCCGTATGGCCAAGTAGTCTCTTGGTCAAGTCAACACGGCCGTCATAGAGACGATTCTGAAGCTCGATACGCAGTTGCCAAGGGAGATCATTGTGCCCGTCAATCAGACTGAATAGCTGTCAGCAAGTGCAGTATAGAATAGCATACGAAGCAATCATACGGGGTTGATTTAAGAACCCTTCGAGTCCGTTCGGCGTAATTGGTGGGGTCTACATGGCGTTCTGCCGGCCACAGTACTGTGAGCGGACTCAGTAGGAAGGCAAATCCGGCCGCAAGCAGAGGATAACGAAACCGCGACCAAAAGCTAGAGTTTTGTGCTTGAGATCGTACGACAAGTGCATTCTCCCGTGAATCTTCTGGTCTCGAGGTCGATATATTTTCATCGCCGCTCTGGGCGCGCCTGCGAACTGCTGGCTCTGTGTTGGCCATGTTTAGTAGTGTGACTTTAACAATATCATTTGCGGCGTGGCAGAAGTTCCGAAGAAACGACGCAGCTGATAAGTCATCAGCAGCACAACCGACAAAAAACATCGACTTACATCTTTACTCTAGAGCCGTGAGCTAGAGAGCTCCAAACTAGATGGGTTACATTAGGCTTCTTGGCTTGCAACTAACGGGGCATCCTATTTACGGGCGGAAGTGGGCCTGCATGACTCTAGCTGACCCCCTTGTAAGGAGAATCGTGATTCTCCTTTCCTGTAAGTCGCATACCATGTCGACTCCCTCAAAATACAACTCCTTCGGCCCCGTATACAGTGGCGATAGCGGCGATTGCGCCATTGTTCCCCAAGAATGAGCAATAGGATGGCGCAAAGAATTCTAACTACAAGGGCGAACAGACACGTGGGTCAGCCGCTTGCTAAAGATGCATTATCTTGGCAAAGCTAAGATACGGCTGGGACGTTCTGGGCGACTAGGGGCGAGACGCGTGAATGAGTTCCATACGTTGACTTTGACCCAATCTGTCGGACTCACTCTGATGGGTAGCTCCAGATGCCCTGGGAGGGTATAAAGAGGGCAGCCTGCAAGATCTGCAGATCTTGGACCTTGAACAGCCCACCTCCTTCTAAAGTGTAGCAATTTCCTTGCTCTCTTATCGGAATTGGCCGTATTTCTCTTCCTTTGAGCCTCAAGCAGCTACTTTACGGGGTCAATAATCATGGCTCTTGATATTATCAACGACCCGGAGAAACACGCCGACGCCAATGTTGCCTCGGCGGACTCTGATTCCGAACCAGGGCCGGTCATCGTTAACAAAGCTCTGGAGAAACGACTTGTGAGGAAGATTGACTTCATTCTCATGCCTGGCCTCGGTGGGTTTTCCAAACACTGACCAGCAATACGCAACGAAGATAAACTCATTAATGGAAACAGCATTGGCGTACCTAACACACACGCTCGACCGGGCCAACCTGGGCAATGCCAAGACTGACACGCTCGAGAAGGATCTCGGCCTGGTCGGCAACCAGTTTTCGCTGCTCCTCATTCTATTCTATATACCCTATGCGCTCATGAATGTACCGTTTACGTTATTGGCGAAGCGATTCAACCCTGCCGTGGTTATCCCGTCTATTATGTGCATATGGGGTCTTATGGCAACTGTCTCCTCAGCAACCAAAAATTTTGGCGGTATTCTAGCATGCCGCATTCTCATGGGATGTGTCGAAGCAGCCTTTTTCCCCTGCGCAATCTTCTACTGCTCGCTCTTCTACACTCGCCACGAGCTTAGCTTTCGCACTAGTATCTATGGCATGATGGGTTTCATTGCTGGTGCGATCAGCGGCCTCATTGCGTGGTCCGTTTTTCAGTGGAACAAAGCTCTGCATGGATGGCAGTACCTCTTCATCATTGAAGGGTCTCTTACTGTTGGTGTCGGCATTTTGCTATTCTTCATCCTACCCCACAGTGTCGAGAAGTCAAGATGGTTTACGGAAGAGGAAAAGGCATTAGCAAGACAGCGTCTCGAGGAGGACTCACAAGATGTGGATAAGACCTTTAGATGGGAAGATGCGAAGAAGGAATGCAGAGACTGGACGACTTGGGCTTTCACATTTATGGCCATTCTCTATGGAGTTGGCGTCACTTCGAGCTCTAACTTCTTGCCAGTAAGTATCAAAACTTGCGTGAATTCGAAAGACCAGGCTAATTAGTTTCAGACCATCGTCAAGAGAATTGCAGTGACCTCGTCGAAGGCCAACCTGTACACCGTAGGACCGAACCTGACGGCCGCATTCATCCAGCTCACGACAACATTCTTTTCCGACAGACTGCAACAACGAGCCTATATTGCTGTTGGGACACTCTTCGTCTCTTTCATTGCCTGGATTCTCCTTGCTACTCTTGACCTCGTACATTCTGTACATGTCGGCTACTTCTTGACGTATCTCTTGACCTTCGGCACCTTCACTCCAGGTATTTTGGTTCCTGTCTGGATCGCATCAAACACAACAACCACCACGGGCAGAGCGTTCCGTCTGGGTCTCAATTTCTTTGGACAAAATGTTGCCGGAATCATCAGCTCCAACGCCTTCCGGGCCCAAGATGCCCCTGTTTACAAGCCTGCGTTGATTACCGTAGCGTGCTGCCAAGCAGTGTTCATGGTCGTTTGTCTCGGAGTTAGAGAGTACTACCGAAGACTCAACAAGAAGCTGAGCAGTGGTGAAATTGTCCACGTCAGTGGTGGCAAGGAGAGACCTGACTATCGCTACGCTGTATAAGAATAAACATACCTCAAACGAGATGATAGCAATGACTATTAGGTTATGCAGCCGCGAGATAAAGTAGAAGAAATTAATCGATTAATCCATCATACCACGAGCAGAACAACTGCATGCATTCCATCATCGCATTTATATTATGATACTTGCTCTTTTTGCCCTGCACCTGCTTCCCAATCGTTCCGGGCCTCTATGCCATTTGACTCGTTTCTAAAGCTCACAATGAAAAGGTCTCCGTGCTAGGAGACTAGTCGTAAAGTTTGATTAGGGTAATAGGTTCTACTCAGACTAGATTGATCTTTACGGAGATCCATCATGAAAACCATATATATGTCATACTAAATCCTTGAAGAAATATGAAAATATACATCAGAAGCATCCAGCGAGGAGTAGAGATCTCTGTTTTGCTAACAGGCACGCAAGCCCCGGGGCACGTGGAATTTGGATGAGAACCGTTATAGACCCTGAAAGCAGTAGTTGTTGGCATAGCGTACTGAATTGTGCTACTTGCTGAGGTTCTAAACTTAGTCGAAATCTGATCGGAGGTCGATAATCTTTGAGTTGATGAAGAGGCCGTAGTATATCTTGAGGTGGATATAGATGTGGCAGGCTTGGGGCACACAAGATCTAAAAAATGCTGTACAGTTTGGTTCATATCTACCGAACACCTTGCGCCAGCACATTCCTCAAGTTGGTCTGGGAGTAGACTACATTTGCAAAAGCCTGGAAAGGAGGTTTAGCCGCAGATACAATAGCGGAGTGCCATAGGATTGACATACAGTCGAAAAGCCCAAGCGGGCATTGGCATTGCTGGAACTCGAAGGTCACACACGTTTGCTACAAATTGCCCGGGTTAACTTAATTGACACCATCTCGGATCTCATTACCAGTACTCACTGCACATATTGGTAGCTCTCCAACTTCGTCTTCAGGCTCAACTGCACCTTTGCAGAGAGTAAACAACAAAGAAAGCTCGGCCCAAAACAGGGGTTTCATTCTGATATTTGATATTCAGACCAAGACGCAGAATACAGAAAGTAAAGCAACAGGTTGACTCAAATAACCTCTGTGGTTTATCGCCTGCGGAGAAGAGGGTGAGACTTTTCCCCACAGGCTGCTCGACCTGATGGTGTGAAGTAATTAAATTGTGGTAGCCACTTCTAGCGATGTTTTTTTTAGCCCTGAGTGGTTGATGTGACTGAAGGCAGCCGATAATAGAAATATACCTCAGCCTTCTCTATTGTATTTAGTTGTCTTCGGAATGAAGACGGCCATGTTAAAGCTGCACATGCATATTTCAGTGTGAAGGGATGTCAACTTCAAGTAGTGTGATACTCTTTTTGTACTTTCTATGTTATGTTAGACTCGTACACTTGTTTACTCAGAAATAGGTCTCAAACTAACAGGAGGGCAACATTGAGCGACATCATAAGTTGATCAGGCGATGTTCCAATACCAATGTCTCAGACGCCTTCACCTGTGAGGCTCCTAGATTGGACGCCACCAGTCGTGTCAAGTCAAGATTTTGTTCAGCTTCTCAGCCGCATTACCCAAAGAAGATGACTATTGGGCGGCTATACGCCACCAAATGATAGTTCAAGGTCGAGGCGTGTATGCCCATGAGAATATGCAAGGGCTTCTGAGTACTTAATAGTTGCGCCTAATAGTCGTCGGGGTTTATCGCGGATACCGCCGTAGATTTCTGTGTAATTCAGAAGGCTGCGAAATGATATGACAACTATTGTAGAATTACGGTCCCCAAGATAAATCGCGTCTTTGCGACGCATCCTTTTGGTTTTGGCTGCTCGGTCTCTCAACTCGATATAAAACACAATGTTGTTAACATTTGTCACTGTCGTCAGTCTTCTTGTCTCACAGGTGCAGAGTGCCTTGTCATGCGGCTCCCTCATGACTTACAGGCAATACTCTGTCATTTTGAAAAGCGCCCCAGTTTGTTTCACTGATGGATGTGGTGTCTCGGCAACAACGATGTCTTCAGAGTGCGATGCCTCACAACCATGCTCGCACCTCTGGAAGTTTATGAGAGAGCAATGGCAACCTGATTGGTGCTCATCATGCCACCACGAGATCGCATGTCGAATCCATGGATGGCCAGTCTTAAATATAACAGCAACATGCGCCACACAGCCGCGCGAATGGCTTTTTTCTAACACTGGCTCCTGCTGTGTTACTGACGGTGAGCCATTCGAGTTGGCCGACTGGATTGGCAGCCTTTGCAATGGATCGGAGTGGCGAAAGCCATTTGAATACTTTGGTGGGATGGCGAAAGAAGACTGGGCGGAATGGATTGAGCCCTGGAATTGGACTGTCAAGCCGGAGAACATATCGCACGAGCCTCTCGAATCAATATCCTGTTCTAGTCCGTCAACTACATTACGAAGTCTTGCTATAGAGAATGCCGCCACTCTAGCGGAGCTTCCAACTGAGGTTTTTTTCTTCTGGCTAATCACTCTCTCGGGGCGTGGAAGACGGGCCTTTCGGCGAGTTTTCAAGATGCCTTCGGCCCAAACCTTTAGAGGTGCATTAATATCGGGTATATGGTACCCAATTGTCCACTGGCTGCTCTCAAGCTTCCTAGTAGCAGCGGAATGGCATGCAGCCCCTGGCTATGGTCATATACCTCTTGGCCTTACAGCGTTTCTCCTGTGTGCCCGTCCAAATATTCTCCTCCTACTCACGTGTGTCTTATTGATAATTGACCGGCTCTGGGATCGATTTCTACCAAACAATTTCAATGTACGCATACCCCGTACAAACCTCTGGATAGACAATCTCGCGCGGGTACGAGCTAGACAGCTTTTGGCAAGTCTAGGATTCTCAATTTCTGTTACAGAATTTCTGATCCAGGCTCTCGGTATATACAGCATCGGCCGTGCGACAAATACAGCGCGTGAGCGTGGCTTTTATCACGCGAATAATCTGACACCTTATTGGCATGGGACTCAGGCGATGTACATGTATGGGGGTGCACTCGTCCACACCATACTGGCATTTATCACAGTTCTAAGTTTATACCTTTCCGCATACCTTCACACGAAAGAGGCTGAGTTCTACAGACGCATGTTTGACATGCTTTCTGGAGTTTTTGATCGTGTAAATACGCAAATAGCACAAGAACGTCAACAACGCCGCGAGCAGCAAATGCAGGAACGGCAGCCGGAGAGCACAGGACAGGTCTTTCAAATCATAGAACCCGAGAGATCTCCAGATACTTCCATGATTCAGATTCAACCCCATTTCGCCTTAAGGAGGGATTTCCCCCGGTCACGGACCAGAACAAAGAGACCGGAATCAGGGCTGTCGACCCAAGGAGCCCCACTGTCGACCAGTCCACCAGCTAGTGGAGAAGAAGAAGCCCCAAATGAAGACGAAGAAGAGGAAGAGGTGCAAAGACATTGGTCACAACTTTCTGTCTCTATGCTTATCTATATTTGGTTACGGCGAGGAATGCCAGATGATATACTTGACCGTTATCGTGATCTGGAAATTGAATTGGAGGAACAGTATGGTATCCGGCCCCCAAACCACAACCCAACATATTACCTGGGATGGGTTATTTTGATATTGACTACAGTCTGTGCAACGATCAATTTCATTGCGCAATGGCTCTTCTGGGCAGGATTTATGAAGTCACAAGGTTCAAGGTATGTAACAGTCTGACATCTCTGCGCCGATTCTCATCACCTCGTCCCAGGTTCTGTCCTCCAGACGAAAATGAGCTTGTTCTCAGAGTTCGTTTAATATTAAGCTTACTCCCGTTGCTCGGTATGTTCCTATCTATGTATATGTTGCTTAGAAACTTTGCTGACTTTAATAGGCATCATGCCGAACGTCGCGTTGTCAGCGATCAGTGCTGCCTCCGTGTGAGGCCCCTCTGGTTAAGGCAAATGAGCGACAGAGCGATCTGAAATTGGCCATGAAGTTCTGTGAGGTTGAAAGTTAGTAATTTGCCGATATGCAACCGTAGTTGTGAGCTCGTAGTTTTATCTCCCTCGAATATTGAGTCTGCCCGTGTAGATCAATCTACAGGCAAAGAGTGATGTTCTCACAAGTGACAGCCGAGCCAGGGACTGGGAGCTCATCTTCTCCAACCAGAGTAACTATGACATTATAAGAAGCTGAATTGTGTATATGCACATAAATTGGGTCATATATATGGCGGGGTGTCAATTTTGCCGGACGGCATCTTTCAGACCGCGGCATTCCACAATCAAGTGAATGTAGATTTGCCTCTTCAATAACACTCCTGTCACTCATATATCTGTGCCAAGCCGTTATGCCTCCGGTGATGCATTCTTCTTAGCCAGCGTAATATTCTTCAAAGATTTCCCTAATGGCGTTCCTCAGAAGCATGTCGTCCTGCAGGGCAATCCTAGGGGCCATCACAATCGCCGCATTGACCGTTGTAACTGCAGCAGATTGCAGTACCGACCACTTGATTGCTGCGGCTGACACCTATATGGCTGCCCAGAGCAGTGCAAAACTTGACGAGCTTCAAAAAATCATTACCACTGGTAACTTCACTTACCGGCAGAACAACAAGAGTGAAGACATCAAAAGTGGACTTCTCAGCAAGGCATTGAAGCTGGACCACAACCGTACAATTGTCGACACTACAGCATGTGCAAGCTATACAGAACTTGTTTCTGTTGGTGGTCCCTATGTGATTGGGACGCAAATTCGCCATACTGCAAATGCCGCTGAAATCGTTATGATTGATACCATAGTCGCAACAACTGGTGACTGGGCTTTTGGCGCAGCACAGACTCTGTCACACTTCTCAACAGAGGATTGGGGGACGCTCGATCCCTCGGAGCGGTCCAGCCGGGATACCCTCCAGGCTGCTGCGGACGCATATCTTGACATGTGGAGCAATGGCACCGCAATCAATGCGGTTCCCTGGGGAACTCCTTGCGCGAGAACTGAAGGCTCTGCCTATGTCACGCCTTCATGCAAATCAGGCGCTCCCAGTGGCGGAGGCGGTGCACGCAATTCAGATAGGCGTTATGTCATTGATGAAACTGTTGGATCCTGTAATGTGCTCTGCGCGTTTGGGGGGCAGATGCCCGACAGTCACGAATTCCGATTAATTTCGGGGAAGTTACGGCTTGTACATACGATTACAGTCTAGATAGGCGAATTTCATCATCCTGTATGGCATCTAGTATGATTCGACGATGTTAGCCCAGCCCGCCATACTATAATATCGTTTCTTGACAAGCTAATCACTGTATCGCTAGGCCAAAGTGTGTACCTCGAAGAGCAAAAACTCACGTCTTTGCTTCTTCCATTATGAGGTGGTTTCCTTCCCTTACTTTCGAAACTTCCAACCAGAATAGCCAAGCAGTCTGGTCGTGAATATCGGGTATCCATAGAAAACGGCTCAGACGACTCTTTAGGTCATGCCAATCTCGAATATCACCATACTCAGGCGAGACCAGCTTGTCAAATGACGTCAGAAGCCAACTCCTTGTCTCTGACTCCGTAATCATATCCGTTACTGGAGCAGCAAGAAGCAATGCCCAGAGATGAAAATCTATCGGAACCGTCGATGTCCATACTGCTGCTGGTGATGAGAACGAAACATTGTCCAGGTTGGACATGAGATCGGTATAGACTTGTCTAAATATGTCTCCAATACGTCGATCAATGAATTTTGAAGGAGCTGGTTCGTGAAGAATGGTAATAGAGTACAAGATGAGAGTGAGTCGGAAATATTCTGATACTCGATCACTTTGCGCATGAGTGGTGATTGATTGTTTGTAGTCACCTGATATTAGTATGTATTGTGCCTCAGTCAACAACTGACGTGCTCTGGCAACTTGGGCCGAGGTAGGCTTTTTGAATGGTGCACTGGTGTTTCCATCGTATTGGATCGAGTAGATGTCGATTTTGTCTTTTGCGTCGGACCAAAGACTCATAGCCTCCTCAAGTAGATAGATAGAATCCTTAATACCTTGATCAAGATTGATGATTCCCAAAAGAGCGTTGAATCCAGGGCTACGGAAGAGGTGCTTTGATGATGAGCGGGGGAGAAGACCAGACGGCCCCTCGAAATAAGGCGGTTCCACCGCATCCAGTGCACCATATAGATCAGCACTGCAATTATACTAGTCAGCTTTCATTCTATTAATCACTGCTTGCTTAGAGAGGATGTAGGTTATGTTTCTGTATTGCTCACCGGTATATTTTGTTGACAACAAAGGGGTTCGAAGATAGATTCTCCGGCCCTCCACGACGATCAACGAGCTCTTTCAATCCTTGCATGTGAACTTGCCAGTTTCTGTGCCGCCCAGCACCTTTCTAATAGCCAAAGTTAATAATGGACAAAGAACAGACAAAGGAGAGCGTGCTATGTAAGTTTACCTCTAGCATGGCTAGCGCTGCAATTATCGCAAGAGTGGTTTCTGAAACATTCTCGTAGGCATCTTGCAGACGCCGATTGACAAGTGAAATAGCTTCGTAGAAATGTCTCAGCCCTTTTGTTCCGCTGACGATTGCACTGTATCCCCTAGTATATACATCTGCACAGCCGATGAATATATGGATAAGAGCTGGGTCCTCAAAAGCTATATAAAGCCAGTATTCTGCTACCGGATTATATCCAGCCATGTATTCTAGTGCATAGAAGTCTTTCCAGACGGTGTCCGTATCTGTGCATGATAGTACATAAGTGTTTGCCAAAATATGAGGTAAAGGCGACTTGATAACTCACAAAATCTTAATAGGTCATGCATCTAAGATATGAGCATGTTTGGTCAATAACAAGAATCTATATCGAAATGGCAAGAGCGGCTTACATATGGCTCTAGTTTGATGGGTGACTGATCAAATGGATCCACTTCTAAAATCTGCTGCAGGCTGATCTTTGGAACGGCTTGCCGGACTTGTACTCTCGTCTCCTCGTGAATTGGCTCTTCAGACTGGCGGTGATCCGGGGTAATATCACGCTGCCTCCGTACCTGCCGGGCCAGACAAAGCCTGGCATGTCGGCGAATCCTAGTGCGTGCCGTTTTGTCAACATCTTTCGAACATCCTGAGACGTTCACAAATTCGAACACCGATGATGGCGGTTTTTTAGTGCCCCAATTGCTCGATTTCGATCCCTTGTTGATACCTATCAAGATTTCAAGTTCAACATTCATTCTAGTGCCACAGGCTTGTTTCGAAATATAGAGAGCCTTACTGCCTTTGGGACGGCCTCGTTTCCAAGGGCCTGGTACCTTCACTGGACCATTCGCATAATGAAACAGCCCCGGTTCGTGCTTGATAAGTGCATGTGCATTGGAGGCCGTATTAAGTGCAAAGACGACTTCCGCAGATTCCGAATGCATGGTCTAATGATTTTGCTACATTGCGCCCAATGACCAAGGGGTTTGGCAGGAGTCGTTGAGGAATAAGTTTCGGCGTAGATGATGTTGAAGGACTAAGTAAACGCCACTGGAGGTCGTCTAGGTTAGGGCCGAGAATGCGTCTATCTCCGCCCTGTAATTACTCGCGCACTAGTCCCTCTAGACACCACAAAGCCAACCTTTCCTGTTTAGGCCGCATTTCTTGATTGCCAATTACAGTTAGAAGCATCTTGAAAGCATCTAGACGTGCGAGTCTAAAAGGCAGCTTGCTTGTGCTGGAGGTTCCACAAGAGACTAGGAGCTCATCAATCATAGATCACTCGATGTATTTGCGTAAATCGAAATTGAATAGTCTTAGGAAACTGTGCAAGAAATTCAGCCATTTCTGGTTAGACTACAGCAGTCTACTATTGGACGTCACGAACAATACTTTGCTTCACCAAGATATAAAGAGGGCACTCCAGGCACTCCAGATCTGGGATCATGTCGTTCCATTTCGATAATTCAATCTCCAATTCTCGCACCAATCATTCAATCAATTGTGCATAAAAGCAAGTCATAATAATGAGCCCCTACAATGCTGAGACGACCGCCGAGGAGGTAGCCTCTGACTGTCAAACTCAAATCTCAAACAAGACCATCTTGGTTACTGGCGCTACTCCAGGTGGGCTGGGAGCCGAATTTGCAATCATAATCGCCAAATTCAGGCCTGCATGTCTCATCTTAGCCACTCGCAATCTCTCGAAGGCCGAGGAGACTGCTCGACAGATCGCCGCGGCCGAGCCGTCTGTTCAAACCAAATGTATTGAGCTTGACCTTGGATCGATCAAGCAGGTCAAAGTCGCCGCAGAAGAGATCAACTCCTTCGATGAGAGTATTGATGTTATTGTTAATAATGCAGGTGTGATGGCTTCTCCATACTCCAAGACCGTCGATGGCATTGAGTCTCAATTTGGTATCAACTTTGTTGGCCACTTCCTCTTGACGAATTTGCTCCTGCCCAAGATGCTGGAAAGGGGCGTGCCTATCAGGGTGGTCAATGTAAGCAGCAGCGGCTACCGCTTCGGACCGGTTCGCTTTGAGGACTGGAACTTTGGTGTGAGTAAATCCGGTGTAGCATCAATTTCAATGAAGACCGGTGATTGAAGTTCTAGAGTTGAAATTCTTATAACAGGACGGCGAAGTCTACGATCGTTGGTACTCATATGCGCAATCTAAATCGGCCAATATGTTGTTCTCTGTGTCGCTTGCCCAGAAGTTAGGACAGAGAAACCTCGTCTCCGTTAGCCTTCACCCGGGAGTCATCTTTTCAACCAACTTGTCCAGAGATGTGGCTTGGGAGGACTTCTCAGAACTCGGTAAGTGCTCTTGATACTTGACTATCTTCGCAAGGAGCTTATCATCTGTTCAATAGGGGCGATGGACAAAGCTCAAGGCAACATAAGCTACGCGAGCCAGGCGCCCATGACGAAGACGCCTTCGCAAGGTGTCGCAACGCATGCATTTGCCGCTTTTCACCCCAGTCTGGATTCACCTGGTCAGTCCCCTTCAAGGCAATAAATCCACTACTGAATTCTTTTTGTCATCAACCGCCATTCGTACTCATGTGTTGTTCTAAGCTTAAGTAAATCGGGGACCAATGGAACTAACTCTGTTTGGCAACAGATTTGAACGGTCGCTATCTGTCAGATTGCAGTGCTGTCGATTTGGAAAAGGTTTATTGCTGGGGGCGAGACCCTATTGACGCAGAGAAGCTCTGGAAATTGGGTGAAAAGCTCGTTAATCAGCATTTCGCATATTAGACAAAGTTGAATTCTGTGTGAAACTGTCATATAGAGATATTAGTAACACAAATTACTGAACTTTGGTAGAATCAAATGTTGACTTGTCGATGATGCGAGGTTTGTGGCTGCTAATTTAGCGGCATCGGAGCTAAGTTCAGACTAGATAGTGTTGCTGAATTTCATAGCTCTCTCTCTTCGAATCTTCATAGTGCATGGTCGCTAATTATTTTCTTACGCCATGCAATTACCTGGTCTAGTATGTTTAGCGATCAGGGGTTTCGGCATCGCTCTCCGCACACGCCTCGATCGGATATACAATGCTATTACGCTGATTTCAGAATAGCACCTTTGGCCCCCAATTTCAACGACATTACCTTGTTGAAGCGCACAATGCACATGCTGGAGAACTTTTGGCAACACAAAATCTCGCATAAATCGTTCCCCAGAGCTTGAATACTATGAAATCGATATGAGCGTCAAAGGCCTTTGTCGAAGACCCAGGTATCTTTGGGTTACACTTAGTAGTCCTTGAGTTTCGATCCCGAGGGGGTGCTTCGATACCCCTTTGGTAAACGTTTGAAGGGCCCGAATCTCTTCAAGCACGGGCTACATGTGCATCGGATAAGTATTACCTGACAGGCTCACCACAACACCCATCATGCTAGGGCACAAGAAACTTGAACTCAATATTGAGCAGTCAATCACAATGAAAGAGAATCGAGGAAGGCAATGGCCGAAAAGGGACTGGAAGATGGATCCGAGTTGTAAAGGGCGTTGTGATATAACAAAGAATAGCAATGCTCTGTATTCTGCGATTGATCAGTACAAACCTCTTCTAGGCTGATGGCGTCTAATTGCTCTAAGGTCAGTATGATATCAGTACCTTCTTAAAGATCTTATTATTGCTTCAGATCTTCCTGATTGCTATTTGTTCCTAGACTTGCTAGAAAACCTTAAGGTTGGCTAAATCTAGGTGCTTAAAACTATATATAGTAGAGTGTAGCAATGAGTTCCTGTGTGTGTTGTCTTGTGTTGATAAGGCCGATGTCAATGTATAAGACAGTAATGGGCAGACACCTTTATGGCGTGCGGCAGTACAAGGCTATAAAGCAGTAGTTAGGCTACTCCTCGCAACTAGCTAGGTAAATATCAACCAGCCTGATAATGGCGGCCGGACGCCACTATCATTTGCAGCAGTACGAGGTCACGAGACACTTATTAAGCTTCTCCTCAAGACAGACCAGATTAAGTTCAATAGGCCAGACAATAATGGTAAGACATAGTTATTGTAGAGTACTATAAAGGACTGTAAGGCAGTCATCGAGCTACTTCTTGAGACAGGCTAGGTTGAGATCGATAAGCTAGATAGCAATGGCCATACACCGCTGTCGTATGCAGCTCAAAGGGATCATAAGGCAGTCGTGGAGCTATTATAGGCAGCTTTGGAGAGCTCGGAGAGAGATATACTTTACAACTCTTTATCTTATGTTTCCATCATAGCATGTCAAAGAGCCGGGAGAGGTGAATAGTGTTATAGCCAGGCACTCGTAGAATATTCTACTAGCGTTCCTATAGCTACTTTTTCAAGAGAATATAGTGTCCTAACAGTCTAGTTTAGAAGCATTGAATCAATGACATTTCTCCATTCTGATTTGCCAATGCTATACATTCACATAGGCCGCCTGTAAATTTACAAGCTGACCTGGTTAGGAAAATGCGGAATGCTCTGCTTCCACCAAAGCGTACCTAACTTGTCCGTGCCTTCAAAATAAATAAACCTACCATGCTAAAACGAACCTCAGCTACCTAGGTATATTAAAGGACCATCAAAGTGTACCCTAAGATCTGCCAATATACTTATACATTCGAGAATGACTTGAGCAATTATCACTTGGTATACCCATTTTCGACCGAGCTATGGCCTAGAGTACATGGTTGTTCAAGATCAGAAATTGAGAATGAAAAGATAAAAGGAAGGTACACAGGATTTTTCGATAAGTACATTGGGGATGGCAACACGCGAAAAGTGGCGGCGATGGCTGCATCTTCCATGCAGCAGACGGAGAGCAGGTGGCGCCAAGGATACTTACTACCTAAAACAATTCAAGATACGACGACACAGCAGCAGCGCCTCATTGCACCAGATCTCGCGTGGTCGGAGCAGGCTGCATGAGGATTGGCTGGTGGCACACTGGGCAAATCCCTCCTCGTGCAAAGGAGGCCTATCGAATTTAAGTCTCCTCGATAATTCCATTCGTGTCAGAAGACTCGGTCCAATGATACCGAGGTGGCTTCGAGACATTGTCAGTGCACAGATAATGTAGATAACGAAGCCCCGACAATCGAGGACTCGAGGTGAAGACAAGACAAGAGGGGGACGGGCGAATACCTTGCAACTTGAGAGAGTTCTGGGCAGCAGAGACTGGAAGCCCCTCATCTGGGCAGCAATGGGCTATGGAGGAATGGGCGGACAGACGATTCCATCCATTCATTCGGCCGCATCAGGGCCAAATCGAAGCAGAGGGGAAAGCACAAGTCCAGGCTAGCATGCTAAGCAACGAAACGCAGCAGCGCGCAAGACAGGATAGCTCGAATCGAGAGGAGAGGGCTTTCGTAAACGTGGCACTGCTCAAGTGTCAGGTTGTGCCGGAGTATGGGCTGATTGGACGAGGCGGCCAAACCCTCCCCAGTCGAACAGCAGCCGGACAGAAAATACCGCCTTTCTGCAGTTTAAGGATTGCCACTGATTGGCCAGCGGGCGGCAGGCCCAACCTTGGAAGTGGCCCAGCAGGCCCAGTCGCACCTTCCGTGCAACGATGCAGATGCCAGTGGGCCTATCGAATTCAGGCAAGGCGTTTCTGGTGGGGTAGCTCGATACCGCAGATAGGGTGCTGCAAGATGCTCTTTCCTTGTTGAGAGGGTACCTGCTCCCAAGGCGCCGTCAGCCTTCTCCCGACGAGGCCCACAGAGTACCGCCCAAACACACGCATCCACGCCTACCTACACCTACACAGCAATTCCAATTGGAAAGCACCAGCCCACCTGCACCTAAGGTCGGGGGAACAGTCTAGTTACCTAGGTACTACCTACCTAGCGAGAAACCCCTCTCTCCTTCCCGCCAACTAGCACTTGTTAGGCACCCGTACTTGCCGTCGCACAGCAAGCCTTCCCAAGACCCTCCCAGCCTGAAAAAGCTCTGGGAGACCCGCCTCCTCCCCCCGGCCCAGTCCACGAGGCTCAGGCTGTCTCACAGCCCTCCCATTTTCTTTCCCACAGCCTTACTTTCGACCTCGCCATTGTCTGATTCCGCTGCCTTGCCTCTCACACCCAAAACTCTACACCACAACACCCTCATCTCGACTTCTTCTTTATATACTGCAGCTTTGATTCAATCCAGACCGCACCCTTCCGTGCCAATCCGGCCTTGAAATGGATCCTCCCAGCAAGCGCCGCCGATTGGCCCCAAAGGTTCCTGGGCTCCCTCCTGCCCAGACCGCTCATCCAGCTCCGTATCCTCCAGAGCAGGTATGCTCCCCCATCAATCGCCGCCGTTGCTTTTCATAGAAGCTCACAGAAATAATCAGGCTCCTCCAGCTGCACAGCACTATGCCGTTCAAGAAGCTGCCCCGGCCGCAGCGGACCCCTACGACTTCGAGTCCTTTGCGAGACATCTCCAGGATGCTGCCATGCTCATATACCGCCAGACCCAGAGGTCAACTTACACAAGTGTCTCTGTGCTCCTACTAAGGTGGGAGGAGGACACATCGGTTGATCAGGATTTGGCAGCGCTAGAAAAGGTGTTTCGGGAGAAGTACAATTATCATACCGACAGATGGAGCATCCCTACAGTACCAAATCCGAGCATCAAGCTCGGCGTCCAGATGGCGTCCTTTCTGGAACACGCTCGCTCCGATCATCTCCTGATAATATATTATGCTGGTTACGGGTATGTTGGAGCAGATAACCAGCTGTATTGGGCATGGTGAGTAAATCGCTCAGGGCATGTTTGCAGGACAGATCTGACGCTCGCCTCAAAGCAATGCTCGGGAAGATGCTTCAAAACTTAAATGGGACGGTGTTCGGTGCCTGTTTGAAGATGCCCAGTCAGACATTCTACTTCTGCTAGACACTTGTGCAATACGTGATGCGCCAATGGCTGGCAGCCATGGTGTCAAGCAAGCCATTGCCGCTTATAGTCCCGAGCAGAAGTCGCAAGTTGCTAGCCGGTCTTTCACTTCGCATCTCGAGTCTGCATTGCTCAAACTGAGCGGCGGTCGGCCATTTACTGTGCCCCGCTTGTACGAGGAGATTCTAGTGGAGCGGCAGCTCGATTTGGGCGGAAAACTAACCAACGGGGCAAGCAAGCCGGCGTCCATTCAGGATAAGGCTCCAACGTTCTTCACGCTCACCCCTGGCAAGGCGCAGAACCTCAATCTCGCCCCATTGCCCCCCTCTGAGTCAGAGTCTTCGCAAACGGCCGCCGAGGTGGATGGTCATGCCTCGAAACCAGATTCGCTTTTTGGTTCCAAACCAGTAACAGACTTGATCTTTGACGAGGCAAGGGTGCTGGTATGTACTACCTTTGTTGGTGAGGCGAGTCCAGACATGGCCTGGTTCAATCACTGGATCCAGAATTCGCCTGCTGTGTCGCGTAACGTGGTTGTGGAAGGGATGTTCCTAGGACCTCCTACAATGCTGTTGATTTCAATGCCTGTCTCGGTTTGGAATGTTGTTCAGACTGAGAAAGTCTGTTGCTTTCTCGGTTATATAAATTCTCATAACATGCTCGGTCTGTATAAACAGCTGGTCGATCGCGCGCCAATTACCGCCGCCACATCAAAGGAGGTTGAGGACGGACGGATACTCCTAGAGGCACGAGAAGCGGCGACTACTAGTCCACATAACAAACGACGTTATGATCAGGTTGGCCATCATTCGACACTTCACCCTGAAACCCCTCATCGGGCAGAAGGGGCGGCGCGGAACCCCCTCCCAAGCTCGGCTCCAGCCACCAGTTCAACTGTTGCCATTGCACCCAAAGATGAGGTCGAAGACTCAGCAGAAATGCAAGAGGCAGCTGAACAATTGAAAGCACTTAGACATGTGCGTCAATTAAGCGATGAGGCTGGTCCAACGGCCACTCATGTTGGCGATAATTCGATAGTTGGACGTGAGGATACAGGCTCTTCTCACGACGCGAATGAGTCGGGCATTGACGAACATCATTATCACGGGGAGCATAACACACCCTCGTCCAAGCCAAAGCCCCCTCGAAAATCTCTTACGAAAGCCATGCCGAAACAAGAAACGCGCTGCAACCTTTGTAGCCATGCACCATTCAAGGATTCATCCTCGCTGCGCAAGCACATTGCTGCTGCTCACACAAGACCGTTTCCCTGTGCATTCTCTTTCGCAGGGTGTACAAGTACTTTCGGCTCTAAGAACGAGTGGAAACGTCATATTGCTTCTCAGCATCTCTGTTTACAGTATTACCGATGCTCGTCGTGTCCTCAAAGTACGGCCGAAGGGAAAGGAAACGAGTTCAACCGGAAAGATCTATTTACTCAGCATCTGCGCCGGATGCACGCTCCATTCGCCATCAAGAAAGCTATCGCAAAAGGTGACAGTAAATTACAACAAGAATGGGAGTCACATGTCAAAGACATGCAGCAATCGTGCCTTGTCACCCGGAGATCACCTCCTCAACGTGCCTCTTGCCCTAAATCAGACTGTCAGAGTTCGTTTGAAGGTCCCGGATCATGGGATGAGTGGACGGAACATGTTGGCCGTCATATGGAGAAGGGCGAGGCCCAACGATTAGGTGTTGACCGATGGCTTGCTAAATGGGCACTCGACGAGGCGATCATTGAACGTAAAGAGAACGGCGAATACAAACTCTGCGCCCAGAACGGAAGCAATGGTGCCAACGCAGAGCGTGAGTCAATTGCAGACAATATCAACAGCTCTTTCATCTCTGATGTGGCGAAAGAAGAGGAGAACGATCCTCATTCGATTATTGTCGCCACCACGTCCCCTATACAGGACAGAATGGAGGTGGACGACTGATACCAACCTCTAAAAATCCTTCAGTCCGGTTGCCCGGCTGAGGCTTCTTCTGGTTATCTAAATAATCATTGCGCATTTTGCATGGAGCGAAGCGGGAGTTTCCGGCATGTACAAGAGTGTCGCTTAACCTCTTCTCCAAAAGGGTGGATTGTCCCTTTCTTATGGTTCAGCATGGCGAGGTGGATATTTGCGATTGACTTGGTGTCAGTGAAGAAGGGGGCGGTAACGCACGTCACGAATGCATTTGATTCAGATTCAGCATGGCCAAAATGCCATCTTCATGACAACGACTTTCCATCTATTTAGCTTATTGCATATATTTTTTTTGAAAATTACATCCTTTTGCACATGGTATAAAGTTCTCAGATACTGCGAAGAAGTTGTGCACCGGGGATTGAGGACCGTGGGCGCTTATCGAACAGTTGTTGCCAAAGGTAAGTAACACTGACTTTCTTGCAACAATCTCAAGATGTGAACCAATACCCTTGTTGATCCTATAGTCTTTACCGAGTGAGGTTATCATTCCGCGTTGACTACTTGGATATCTGTGCGCATGTAAGCTTTTATTCCGTATAGACTTCCAGGATTCCTGGCAGTACTAACCATCAGACCAATCTATCCCCGCGCTCCATCCTCAAAGAGAAATGGCCCGCTGCCCGCGTCCTGCCCGATGGTTCTAGTTCACAACATCACAACCCTTGGGCCTGATGATCCCCATGAAATCCATATTCTGGGGAAGACAAGTCATTTTGCTCGGCTCATCGCCCGGGCCAGATATCGGAACCAGAGCCCGGGAACGTGGCATCACTTGATCATCGAGCCCGCATGATACGGGCTCGATGCAACGCTAGGCGGGAATGGCGATCTCAGCGCATCATTGGCGGATCGACATTCGTGTACATATTGCTACCCCGGATTTTTTCTTGCTTTGCCGTCCCATCAATGAGACCCATCTCCAGGAACAGTGATGCGGGCCCGTGACTTTGGTCCGAGGATACCCACAGATGAGGAGTTTGGTTGCCGCTTGAGACGTTCGGGGATCTCGGAGCCTAGGGTTGTGGTTGAGGTTGGATTTGGGGTATCGTGATGTGACGCTATTCGAATCATAGATACGGATAGATATATATGCATAGGATGCCATGACTTCTGTTTCACAAGCGAGTAGAGGGTTCCTTAGTCTTTATACCATCAATTGCCTTTTCACGAGACCGTACCAAGATGATCTCACTTGTCAAAACGACGCTCCTTCTGCTCTCAGCGAGCATTGCTCGAGCCTCTCTTCAAATTGTTCCAGGAGGAACATGGACAGCTGTACGACGAGAGCTACGCCAGCTACCTTTATCTTTACAACTAACATTGTCTTTCTAGACGAACACGGGTAAACACGTGCAAGCGCACGGCGCAGGAATCATCAAGGTCGGCTCAACCTTCTACATGATCGGCGAGGACAAGACCGACGGCAGCGCTTTCCAGAATATCAACTGCTACTCGTCGAGCGACCTCGTGCAGTGGACGTACGTGGGCGCGCTGCTCTCGCGCACCAGCTCCGGCGACCTCGGCCCCAGCCGCGTCGTGGAGCGGCCCAAGGTCATCTACAACTCGTCGACCAAGAAGTATGTCCTGTATATGCACATCGACAGCAGCGACTACAGCGAGGCTAAGGTCGGCGTGGCCACGAGCGATACCGTGTGCGGCAAGTACACATACCTCAGCAGCTGGCGCCCGCTGGGGCAGCAGAGTCGTGATATTGGACTGTATCAGGATACGGATGGCAAGGCGTACTTGTTGACGGAGGATGTAAGTTGACGCGATTGATGCCAAGGCAAAGGTTAGGGGTGGTTGCTAACAGCGGCATCTTTATGCAGCGCGCCAATGGCCTGCGCATTGATGCCTTGACGTCAGATTATCTCAATGTTTCCAGCGCAACTTACCTCTGGAGTGACAGCATTGAAGCTCCGGCCATCTTGAAGCAGGGCGGTTACTACTTCATGTTTGGCTCGCATCTGACGGGGTGGTCTCCCAACGACAATGTAGGTCCAGGTCTCAACTCATTAACGTTTCATTGCACAGTCGGTACTAACGAGCTGTCACAGGTATACAGCTATGCTACCTCCCGTAAGTGCTGTCGATTTCAATGGCGATGGACATCTCGATGCTAGCATGGAGGGCGAGGGTGCTGATCAAGGTCAATAGTCTCCGGTCCCTGGTCTTCATGGGCCACCTTCGCAACCGTTGGCTCCAATACTTATACCTCGCAAACGAATTTCGTGTTGCCCATTTCCAGCACGCAAGCCATCTACATGGGCGACCGATGGGTGTCGACGAATCTGATGCGAAGCACATACATCTGGCTGCCACTCACAATCTCTGGAACCAAGGTCACGATGGCCAACTACGTCAATTGGGTACCGAACGTGTCCGCCGGCACCTGGACGCCGGGCCCATCTGAGACGCAGCCCGAGGCCGAGGCCGCGACGCTGTCCAACGGCGCCGTGGTGGTCAGCTGCTCCGGTTGCAGCGGCAGCCAGGCGGTCGGGTACATCGGGGGCTCGTCGCACGGGACGCTTACCTTCAGCGGGGTGAGCTCGAACGTGGCGACCAAGACGACGATCAGAGTCAAGTACGAGAACGGCGATAGCAGCCAGCGGTTCGCGACGGTCAGCTGCAACGGCGTGGGCCAGACAATTGCTTTCCTGCCTACAGACAATGGCTACACTCCCGGCAGTAGCTCGGTGCACTGCAATTTGAACTCTGGAAGTAGCAACACGGTGGTTGTCACGCAGACGGACGGGACGTATGGGCCTGATGTTGACCGGATCATGGTTCCTGTAAGCTAGATGGCCCTCAAGGTTGTTTAGGACGCCCATCGATGAACGTGCATGACCAAATTGCTGGCGGAGTATCTCCGCCTCTTAGTCAGGGGTGGCTATTCGGTTGAGGGTTAGTGGGCTTGTGAGGTTACAGATGGAGCTGTTCATATCATCAGGAATATGCATTATTTGGCCGAGTCCAATACAATAATCCCGGTGTGATTATGTCCAAGTATGCCCGTGGCACTGCACTCCGCAGATTTCCCCTTCCCCAACATGCCGCATGTCAGTATCCTTTGGACACAGAGGAATGATATCAGTGGCCGTTTCCCTCACGATTTTTTCTTCCATTCAGCCACCTTGTTCGCAGTCTTTCCACGCAGTAAGCAGTTGAAGAGCAGGACGGTTGTCGCCTTACGATTCGGCTTAAGCTTAAGCTGGGCGCAAAGCCTCCCGCATTTCCATCTCACTGTGGCGCTCTTTAGCGGTGCGGGGAAGCTTCAACGGCGAATTTCACTTGGTCCACTACCGCATTCGGCCCGTAACATGGCCTGTCATTCGCCAATGGCAACGGTGGCTCTCCTGTAGTGTGGCCAGGGGGCTATCAGGCCGAACCACGGTTATAGAGCCGACGCCCTTGAGTACTAGGTAGACCTGGAGACTTGTGACGACATTGGATGATACTCTAGATTGTCTCTCCACAGCAACAGCAGCGCCGCAGCTTACCCCGACTTCCTTTTGGGTTGGCGCCTCTTCTAGTACCAGAAGCTCTGCGGAGGCGATGGAGGTGAACAAGACCACCTGGTTGCATATCGTATGTAGCGCGAGCCTTCTGCGCCGTCGGTCGAGCCGGCGTCGACGAAACGGGCCGTTTTCGCTCAATCGGCCTGTCCTTTCTCGACAAGAGCCGAGTAATTCAAGCGAGGATGCTTGGCTGAGCTGACCCCAGTCCTCCCCGACTCAGCTTTCCCCCGCAGAGTTCGTCTGGTCCATGCTCTACAACGTAATTGTCTCCGCTTGCTTGTTGTCTTGGACTCTTGGAGAGGGCCATCACGGGCCATGCGGCTATTACTGGGGTTGTTGTTGGGGTTCACCGATCGATCAAGATGAGGGGAAAAGCTACACGCACGAGCTGGTCATTGCATGGTAATCTCAGCGTTAATTTAGAATCAATCGATCTACTTAAATAGCCGTCATGTCCGTCTCCCCTCTCTCCCAGGTTGCTGGGTATCCCGTCCAACACGTGAGATCAATCGGTACATCATGCGGGTTCTCTTCAACATCGGGTTGTTTGCCGGACTGGCGTCTGCCGGTCTTATTACCGCCCGTGACTATCCTAGCGACGACCCTCTTACAAAGTGTCCTGGATACAAGGCGTCGAACGTCAAGACGACCTCAACAGGTCTAACCGCTGACTTGACACTCGCCGGTGCAGCTTGTGATGTCTACGGTGATGATCTTACGGATCTCACACTTGAAGTCAGCTATGACACTGGTATGCTTATTACAGGGATAACGACAGACATGGACTAATTGATTGAATAGAAACGCGTCTCCATGTCAAGATCCAGGATGCTGGAAACAGTGTCTACCAGGTGCCCGAGTCCATCTTTCCCCGTCCTGTTGCGGCAGGGTCAGACGCGAGCGCGGCAGCCTTGAAGTTTGATTACAAGGAGAATCCATTCTCATTCACAGTCTCCCGCGCCAAGTCTGGCGAGGTCTTGTTCGACACTTCAGCCGCAAGCCTAGTCTTTGAGTCTCAATATCTCCGCCTTCGCACAAAGCTGCCCGAAGACCCGAACCTGTATGGTCTCGGCGAGCACTCGGACCCGTTCCGCCTGAACAACACGAACTACATTCGTACTCTGTGGTCTCAAGATGCTTACGCCACTCCTAGTGAGCATTACCTAGCCCAGACGACATCTTCATCATCGCTAACCTTAGCAACCCAGATGGCGCAAATTTGTATGGCAATCACCCCATCTACTTTGAGCACCGGACAACTGGAACACACGGAGTGTTCTTCCTCAACTCGAACGGCATGGATGTCTTTATCAACAACACAGCAGAATCTGGTCAATACTTAGAGTACAACACGCTCGGTGGTGTTCTGGACTTCTACTTCGTGGCAGGACCTTCGCCTGTTGATGTGTCGAAGCAATATGCCGAGATTGCAGGCCTGCCGGCCATGATGCCATACTGGGGCTTCGGTTTCCAGAATTGCCGCTACGGTTACCAGGATGCATTTGACGTTGCTGAGGTCGTGTACAACTATAGCCAGGCAAATATCCCTCTTGAGGTGATGTGGTAAGTAGAAGACCAGCCAATAATAGCTTCTCACTTCCCCATTGTAGTGACTGACAGCCTGGTTCTAGGACAGATATTGACTACATGGACCGGCGCAGAGTAGGCAAAATTATTTCATCACTAAATAAACTAGGATTGGCAACTGACTTGGGCTAGGTCTTCTCGCTGGACCCTGAGCGTTTCCCAATCAACATGATGCAGGAGCTTGTCCATCATCTCCACGATAACGGCCAGAAATACGTTGTGATGGTTGACCCAGCGGTTGCCTATCAAGATTACCCCCCGTTTGAAAGAGGTGTGGAAGACAACATCTTCCTCCTGCGGGCCAATGGGTCCATCTGGAAAGGTGTTGTCTGGCCTGGGGTCACTGCCTTCCCCGACTGGTTTGCTGCGAATATTTCCCAGTATTGGGACAACGAGTTTGCGATATTCTTCGACCCTGACACAGGGGTTGATATTGATGCGCTCTGGATTGATGTAAGTAAAATCGAAGTTGACTTCTTCACCTTATATGACTTCACCTCAAGAATTCCAGACAACAGCAACCCGGAATTGAAGACATCCACTAATTATAAATAACACAGATGAATGAGCCGTCAAACTTTCCCTGCAATTTCCCCTGCGACGATCCTGACAAGGCTGCTATTGGGTACCCCCCCGAGCCACCAGCAGTTCGCAGTCCACCTCGCCCACTTCCAGGATGGCCATGTGATTTCCAGCCAGCTGGAACCGATTGCAAGCGCAGCGCGGACACCACCGACCTTGTTATACGAGAAACAAGCCCTAAGAAGATCTCATTCGACCATCTCGTGATCACTGCTCGCCAAGAACCTGGAAAGCAAATGGGTCTGCCTGGCCGTGACCTTCTTTACCCAAAATACGCAATTCACAACAAAGCTGCATACATGGACTCTTGGAATGCCGCTGAGGGAGGAATCTCGAACCACACAGTCAACACGGACCTCATTTCCCAGAATGGACTCGCCATGTATGGTAAGTAACATGAATTTCGACCGTTTATTACCTCTGTCTGCCGTTCATTACTAATAAGGCTCAAGATTGGCACAATCTATATGGATCTCTTATGAGCGTACAATCGCGTGAAGCGATGGCCGTGAGACGTCCTGGACTTCGACCGATGGTCATCACGCGCTCAACTTTTGCCGGCGCCGGCGCGAAGGTCGGACACTGGCTAGGTGACAACGTTTCCGACTGGCCGCATTACCGCTGGAGCATCAGAATGATGATGGCTTTTGCCTCTATCTATCAGGTGCCAATGGTCGGATCAGATGTCTGCGGTTATGCGGACAACGCCACCGAACAGCTCTGCGCAAGATGGGCTACTCTTGGGGCCTTCAGCCCTTTTTACCGTGACCACAACAACTACCCACCAAGCATCTCCCAGGAGCTTTACAGGTGGCCAACCGTTGCAGAAGCTGCTCGCAAGGTCATTGACATCCGGTACCGCCTTCTCGACTACATCTACACGGCACTTCACCAGCAAACTGTCGATGGCACACCGCTGATTAACCCAGTATTCTACTTGTACCCGAATGATCCCAACACATTCGGTCTCGAGCTCCAGTACTTTTACGGCGATGCCCTTTTGATCGCACCCGTGACCGAGGAGAACGCCACCAGTGTTGAAGTGTACCTACCTCGTGATGTCTTCTACGACTGGTACACCGGCAAGCAAATCAGGGGCGCTGCCAAGACCATCACCATTGATGACCAGGATATCACCGACATCCCACTCTTCCTCCGCGGTGGCGTCATCGTGCCGTTGCGCGAGAAATCCGCCATGACGACCGACGAGGTCCGCGAGCAAGACTTCGAGCTCATTGTGCCGATCGGCGCCGACGGTAAGGCGAGCGGCAAGCTCTACATCGACGACGGCGTCAGTCTCGTCCAGAAGGGCACCACCGAGGTCACCTTCACCTACGCGGACGGCAAGCTAAGCGCCAAGGGCACATTCGGCTACGGCACCGGCCTGACCATCAACAAGGTCACGATACTGGGCTTCGGTACGATTGGCTGCAAGTCGAAGACCAAGAGACACGTTGGGGAGCTGAGGATCCGTGAATCGGATGCTGTTGTTGAAAAGGACGAGGCGAGTGGTGCGCTCAGCTTCACCATCAACAAGCCCTTGACGGGAGACTTCGAGGTCGAGCTGGTACAGGGTTGAGGCTGAAGAAGACTTTGGGATGATATGGATGTCAAAACACGTTGAATTCTGTATATAATTAACGTCTTAAATGCTAAAAATTAATACTGGTGTATGAACATTGTCGTTGGTAAGATGCACTCCGACCCTCCACAGTAAGCTCGACACCCCCGTTTCGAACTCGGAAGATGATAAGTAAGGGCGCAAAAGGTTGTCTGTCACTAGCGGCAGTCAAGAGGTTGATCGATGTTCTTCTCCCCATAGTACATCCGTACTCTGAGCACGTCGCATGATACAACAGACGATGCCAAAACCATCAGAAGGGATAACCGCGCACAATATAAGAATGGAAGAAGCCTACGTGACTCGAGGTGACTCGCTAGCTTCATGTTCAACGCTTAAGGTTACCCCTTTTAGGTTGGTTTAGGCTTCTTCCAAGCAAATGTGGAGCTTCCGTCCCAGTAGAATGGGTCTGACGTGAGGAGCCCGTCGAAGAGTACGAGATGAAGGAAGTTTCACGTATTCGACGGTAGTTGAAGAGGCCAGTCTTCTCGTTCTATATAATGATTACTTGTCTCTACTTTAAGCCCACTTGGCCGGATTGATTGACCTAGAGGAGCAGGGATGATCACCTATCAGCTTCCAGGGCTCGTACCGTAAGTACTGAAGGCTTCGATTTCAGGCCTGTAGTTGGTTAGGCTCTTTAATACCATCAAACCTTATTGAGATAGATCTTCAATATAAGGCAGTGGAAAGGTAGTTACAACAAGCTTCGAGCCCCGGTCTAAGCATTAAAGACACTATCGCCTGCCGGACTTGACTTGATCCATGCGGATGCGGCTCGGTGCGCAAGGCCAAAGACGGTCTAATCTATCTAGGAGGCGTTTGCAATGGCAGGTTACCCGCCGGTGACTCAAGAGCTCCGCATTAAGCTCCGTGCATCGGTGATGCCATCGATCGCGGAATGGCGGGGACCGGCAGGCGGGTAATATAAGAGAGGTGGGAGCATCCCCGCAGATAACATCCAGCGGAGTTGATCGATTCAAGAACCACCATTTTGGCGCTAACGCTAACGACTCAACGTCCTGTCTTCTTGATCGTCTCGTCAATTATCGATTCCGTAGAGCATTTGCGAGTCAGATAAAAGCACTTCAATACTCATCGTAATAATTGAGCAAACAATCACCAAGATGAGTTCTCCAAAGGGCATAGCGCTTGTTGGCGGTGGCATCTTCATCAAAGAGCAACATCTAGTGAGTTGTGACAACCACCTTGTCTCTTACCTACAACGCTGATTCGTTGACTTTTAGCCTGCTGTTCTTGCTACTCCACTACTCTCACTTAAGGCTATCTATTCACGCTCGCTCAAATCGGCCCAGAGCACACTTGACCTAGTCCCTAAGGAGCACAGCCCTGTTGACCTCTACTCTGATGACTCCGGAGCAGGCAAGTCCTACAAAGACCTGCTGACTCGAGAGGACATATATGGAGTAATTATCGCGTTGCCTATCAAGAACCAGCCTGAGTTCATTGAAGCCGCTCTACTTGCTGGCAAGCATGTCTTTGCGGAGAAGCCTGTTGGCCCAACAGCCGAGGCGGCGAAGAAGCAGATTGACTGGTATCATAGTATAGCTGATGAGAAAAGGGTCACATGGGCAATTGCTGAGCAGGTTCGTTTCGTGCCGAAATTTGCATGGGCAGCAGCAGAGGCAAGGAAACTTGGCAAGGTCATTGGGTTCCATTTCAAAGTCTTTTTCCATATCGGACTAGGTATGCTCTTTTACGTAACCCTTGATTTTGAGATAACACAGCTAAGAGTCAATAGACAACAAATACCTAGCCACCGAATGGCGTAAAAGCCCAACTCACCCGTACGGGTTTATTCTTGATGGCGGTGTGCACTGGATAGCTAGCGCCAGACTTCTCCTCGGCGATGACACTCCTCAGAGTGTAATAGCATACTCTTCACTTGCACAGGACTATCTTCCGCCCGTCGACACCGTCTCCGGCGTCATCAAGACTAAGTCAGGCGCCATCGGAACATTCAATGCATCCTGCGGCACTACTCTCAGCAGCAATGAGTATTCAGTAGCTTGCGAAAATGGAAGTGTGACGATCGAGGGCGATAAGGGGTGGATCCGCTACAAGGACGGGAGAAAGGAAGAAAGGGAGCTCGAATTTGTGGGCGGTGTCAAGGAAGAGATCGCAGCGTGGGCAGAGGCACTGACATCTGGCAAGCCTAACCCACTGCAGACTCCCGAAGAGGCTTTGAAGGACCTGGAGCTTCTTGAGGCAATGCTCAAGAGCGGTGACGCCAATGGTGCCCCCCAGGTACTGAAGCATCAGAATTTGTGAGCATGAGTAGAGAGCTCGCCACACTCAACATGGACAAGTAGGCTAGAACATGTAGCCAACTCATAGCTTGCTCTGCTCCCTACCCACCAGGATACGCTCGAGTCCGCGGCGTAATGTATCATTCATGCCGTTGACATTTGGGCGGGCCGTCTCTCGATCAACGAACACTTGGGTACTGCACAGACTGGTCAGAACTGACTAAACTTGAGCTACTTGGAGTCGAGCAGCAAATCGATAAGTGTCGGATCTCCATCCGACCGAGTCGAAAGGGGTATGCATGCAGACTTACAATTGGCCAACAGAGCACACCCTTTCGGACCCCTTTTCAAACAAGGCAATTTCGTATGTCACCGAAGATTTGCCTAGTTTATTGACCCGCATAGCCAACTCAGCGATGGCGGGAAACGAGATGGAAGCGAAGTAATCATTGTGAGAGTGTACAACCTGGCATTGATTAGTTCATGCATTCCAATTGTCGCTGAAAATGACAGAATTGACCACTCACCATTCCATACTGCGCCGAGGATGACGGTCGCAAACCACAGTTCTCGATGAGGTAAGTGTTAATAATGGAATCATATAAGATGTTGTATACAGAGTTGTTCATGTGGCTGTACATATCATTGTCGAGCCAACGCGTCCTGTAATCCCGAATGAAGGCGTAGTCGGACCGCACGCGCGTCTTCAGCTCCTCGAGGGTGCCCATGGTGGTTTGAGGGTCCCGTATGTGGGGGGCCGCGGGCCGGAAACGCCAAAGACACCGCGGATCGGATGAGGGAGAATGCGCGACAGCAATCCCCGACAGGCGGTGTGCGATGCAGGATGTTCTGCAGGGAGGGTAAGATCGCAAAGTCTAAATGTCTCCAAAGGCGTTTGGGAAATTCGGATCAAGACAATTGCACAATACCGTGATGAAGCTTGATCTGATCCAGGGATCTGGACCAGAATGTGGCTGCTTTTGCCGGTGCCGAGGCCGAGGTTTAGGCGCACTGGCGCCGCTTAAAGACCCCGATGGGGAAAGCGTGGCCGAAACGGATTCGGCAGTATTATGCCCTCCTTGACCGCCCAAAAAAAGGCGACCCCGAAGCCATTCGGAAACCTTAAACAGAACTGGACAGTGATTCCGAAACCTGTTTGAAAGGCAGCAATTTGCGCGCAAGACACCCAATTTGGCTATTGGTTGAGATGCGACCGGTAACCTGATGACAAACCGGCTCAGCCTCGCCACTCTTCGAGCTAACTCGACAACGAACAGCCGCCCTGGCTCGGGCCCTGCGGCTCCTAACGCTGTTCACACAGCGGCGGAGCCTCGTATCGATGGTCATGGACCCCGGATCAGCTGAGGTACCTGCAGCCTCATCTATGGCCTTGGTACCTGTTGTTACAAGTGAGCGAACAAAGCAGCGGCCGAAGAAGAGCGGTGGCTCTGCGCTCAGCGATGTTCTAGTCACGCCAGCCGATCCGTGGCCAAGGCCATACCACTTTGAGGATGGATTCAGGAGAGTTAAACCATACCACTTTACGTACAATACTTGGTGCAAGGAGCGATGGCGGGGAAGGGAGCTTTTCGATATATTCGAAAGCGAGTTCAGAGATCGGCCAATCGAATATTACAGGAATGCTATGGAGACGGGGGCAGTGGCAGTCAATGGACAGGCTGTGGGACCGCACTATGTCCTCAAAAATGGAGATCTTATTTCTCATACACTTCACCGCCACGAACCGCCTGTCACATCTGACCCAATAGGAATCATCCACGAGGATGACAATATGATAGTCATCAACAAGCCGTCTGGCGTGCCAGTGCACCCTGCAGGCCGATACAACTACAACTCGGTTATCGAGATCATGAAGGCAGAGCGAGGGCCTGCATGGATGGCTTATCCATGCAACCGCCTAGACAGACTGACAAGTGGCATCATGTTTGTCGCAAAGAACCCCAAAGCGGCTATCAAACTCGGGGCGCAAATATCTGCGCGGACCGTACGAAAAGAATATATCGCTCGTGTTATTGGGGAGTTTCCCGACGGTGAGGTCGTCTGCAACCAGCCTATTCTGGCAATTTCACCCAAGCTGGGCTTGAATCGTGTCAGGGCAAATGGTAAACATGCTCGGACAGTCTTCAAGCGTCTTGCATATTATCCGCCACATTCCGAATCAGAGGACAAGACACAAAATGCTTCGCAAGGACCAGCAGATGGGAAGCCATGGAAGACCAAGGCCGGCTATTCGATCGTTCGTTGTCTGCCGGTTACTGGAAGGACACACCAATTGAGAGTACATCTTCAATTCCTAGGGCACCCAATTCAGAATGATCCAATCTACGCCAACCAGAAGGTGTGGGGTTTTGATCTAGGTTGTAATGACCATGATGCATCCCTAAACAGCGACGAGGATATTATTGCTCGCTTGTCTCGGATGGGTAAAGAAGATGTGGCAGATGCAGTGGCATACTACGACGAAATGGTGGATCAATATGAGAAAAGGAGGGCTGAGAAGATGTCGGGCGAGGTTTGCGATATATGCCAAACACCACTTTACACGGATCCTGGTGCACATGAGCTTTCACTATACCTTCATAGTCTTCGATATGAGGACAAAGACGGCGCATGGAGTTATGTTAGTCCTCTGCCGAAGTGGGCTCTCCCACCAGCAGGGACAAGTGGTCCGACTGAGGTCGGCAGCATGGAGGACTTAGTAGGAGCCGTTAAAGACGTCAACCCGGAAATAGCATGAGAACAAGACAAGTACTGCATAGTAGACAAGAGACCAAGTCTGCGGTGCCGTTAGTGGTCGGGTGCCCGAGGCATGGCTACCCCTGCCCGACGGCAACGCGTCCACGCAGTCGGGTCTATCTATCCACATGGAGCAGAGCAAAGCAGCCAGCCAGATTGCTGGGATTGAAAATTTGAGCCTTGGCAAGCCACGTTATTCTGCAGTAAGCCCTCAGCCATGCGTACACTTGTCCGTCGGTGTAGAGTTGCCCGCTTTTCCCGCGCCGACCTTCGGATCCACGTACCCACATTGGCACCAGTGACGGACAATGGTGTGATGCATATAAAGGCATGGAAACCGCAGAATCAGAGAATAAGCTTTTGGTCCTCTGCACTTCATTCGACTGCAGGCGGTGACGTTCTAATCGTATGACCTTTTCTGCAGCAAAGCGGATGGGTGACAGCGTCCCAGTACAGTTCGGGCGATGGCTAAAGGTCGGAGTGCCCGGGAGCCAGATCGCGGTGAAGGAGGCGCAAACGCCTCCGGAAGCCGACAACCATCCCACATCACGGGAGGTTTGTGTGACAGACAGCGCAAAGCAAGAGACCAGACTTGCAAACGCCACAAACTCCACCGGAACCATGACTTCGGATATGTAGACTGCAGGTGCGCGTCATTGACGGGCCATTTGCGGCTGGCGCTGCTTTTTGGGCTCGATTTATTCCCGGGGCAAAGGGAAACGGAGTAACTACGGTAGATCTTGATTGACTGCTGGGATTGATTGATTTGCTTGTATGCTTCCGTGCCGTGCGTGCGTGCGTGCGTCGCACAGAGCCTATGATTCCCCAGGACACTGGATGCAGCAGACCTGAGATCTAGCCACGTGCTGCAGCATTCTTCGAGATCGAAGCTGAGACAGCATCATCATTCGTTCGTCCGCGGCCAAGCAGCCTTGGAGAGCATGCCTGGCTGCCTGAATGCAGCTGCAGAACAAGGACTGCTGAGCAGCCAGGACACGCCCACATAATAACGGATGGAAATGTCACCCACAAGCTACCGGCATGTGACGGGCGCAGCAGCCTTGACTCTACGGGCTACCGCTACTCACAGCCCTGGATGACGACCCTGGACAACCCTGGGAAACCCTTGGCGCGGTCGTGTGCCCTCTTTCGTCCAGTCGTCCGTCATGCCAAAAACTCTCCTGGCGGGTGCTGGGGTGTTTGCAAGCGTCCATTCCGAGACACTAACAGATAGTATGGATCCAAGGCTCACTATGTACAGTACTCGAGTACTCTGCCGCATGTACATACTGTGCGTACTCTTCTGGCACAATGCACACCAAAAGTTGGCTTCCCAATCCGGGTCATTATTTTTTTTCTAGACACGCTTCCATTCTTACACTAGGGATTCCTTCGCATTTGCGCCTTTCCGTCTTGTTTTCTCGGCCTAACCCGGGCAGGAATTCTCTCGTGCTTACTTATTTAGTCGCCTTCAGCATCTGAACCATAGCCGTCCGTATGATGATAATGCTTGGAAATCGGGACTCAAAGTGCTGCCAGTACCGCTTTCGGAGTAGCCAGAACTTTAATGTCTGGGGACCCTCGAGCGCATTCCTCGCCCATTAGGGGTACCTCGAGGATCCAGATCGGAGGTTAGCCAACCCACCCAATGGCAAATCTGTCGTCACCATGGATCCGCTGCATCTGTACCCTTTGGGATCAATGCGGCCGGCGCTCTTGAGATCCAGCAACCCGAAAAATAGCCGCCCATGCAGGGGAGCCGGGCCCCTAAACCTAGAGCATGTAGATTTTTTGCTTTTCTGAATCCGTCTTAGCATCACGTCGCCGCCTGTCTGTGCTGTCTCTGCTCTCGTGTGCCGGGTTAGGTCAGTTCACCGATCAGATCCACCTGGCAGTAGCTAGTTCGAAGCAAGACATGAGTGCCTGGAACACCTTGTACCCAAGCCACCCTGAATCCTGCTGCCGGCCGGGGCGCCCAGATCAAATCTGTTCATATAAGTAAACTCACAGACCTTGCAAGGGGGACACATTGTGGGACTCCCAGAGGGGATATAGGTATTAGATCTACGACATCATCCTACGCGGCCCTCCTGGTCTCCATCTTTCTTTAATCCATCTTCAACTCTCTTACAACCCACTATACTATGGCCCCTTCGGCACACTCCAACACCCGTAGCAACACAGCATCACCTGCCCAGAGCAACAACACCGGCGACATGACGCGATCACCTTCAGCTGAGCCGTCTAAGACGACCAAGAGAAAGGGTAAGTTCCATTGTTTTGCAAATCAACTCGTCAAGCCCGGCAAGACTGACTGACCTTGGATGACAGGCACACGAAGCGTCTCAACTCTCACACCATCACAGCTTGCTCGCAAGAGAGCCAATGATCGTGAGGCGCAAAGAGCGATCAGGGCGCGGACCAAGGAGCACATCGAGAGACTCGAGCGTGAGCTCGAGGAGCTCAAGAGCAAGCAGAGTCGTGATGAGACTGTCCAGGACTTGCTCAAGAGGAACAAAGCTCTTGAGAAGGAACTTCGAAGCCTGCGAGAGACAATGGGAATACAGACATCCCAACACTCTTATTCAACGCCGGGTCAGTGATCCTCTCACCAGAAGAGTGCCTGCGCGCATTCTCTTGGCCCTTCGCCTAATGACTAGATTCTAACAATCTATGAAGATGGCCTCTCATTACCCAACTCTGGTGTCCCGTCCAGCACTGCATCACCGCTGGGACAGCACGCGGCGCATTACAAGCAATCACCGGATTTCACGGCCACCTCCTACATGCCATCTCCGGAACCCGTCGAGGCATGGGCTTCTCAGATTCCGTGCTCGATGCCCTCAACGACCTCGAGCCCGTCGTCCACAAGTCACATCGAGGAGTACAATGGCTACATTCCCACAAGCGCGCCACCGCTGGTTGACGGGGCCTCTGTGGCTCACTCCAACATGGCCTACCCGCCGGAGGTGAAGTACGAGGAGTACGAGCGCATCGACAATGGTGAGATCCTTTCCCTTTACCCTCGTTGCCACTTCAGATTCTGATCATCTTTCCAGACAATGGGTTTCCCCGATCTAACCCCGTCCCAATGCCGCAAAACTACCTGCCGCAACAGCAGTGGAATCTATACCCAGTGTACTATCCCCAATCGCCAGCGCAGTGAAGGGTTTTTCAGAGGGTTATCCTTGAAGCTTGACATCAAGACAAGCTTCGAAATTGGCTCTCATTCGCCAGGACCCTTGGAAGGCGCGAGTCGCGCTGCAACAGACGGTGAATTCTCCTTCGCCCCGAAGTGGACGGAGATGTGTCGGATGTTGCACCCGTCCAGGCATGAATGGTTGAGCCCAGACTTAGGCGTGAATGATCTGCGGTCTACCCCTCCCCTCCAATACGCTGGCCGTGCAGGAGCCTGCCATTTACTTTTGAAGGCGGGCCAGTGCGACGCTGGGACGACGACAAAGACGACTGACTAACCTACCTACACCAACAACACCAACAACAGGGCAACACACGCCGCCATGGGACGGATGTACGCACACGATACAGCAACACAGCGCGGACTCAGAAGACCTGCAGCACCTTCTTTTACTCTTTCTCACCACACAATCAGTCAATCAATCAATCAATGCTCAACAAGTACACAGACTGAGACGGCCGATACCAATTTTTTTTTTATTTTTTTTTAATTACTTTTTATTTCTATCACCCCTCTTTTGGGCGCTGGGCTGGACTCTGTGCAACCAACCAGGCCGCCAGCCAGCCAACCGATAGTGATGATACAATCAACAGCTACCCCTCATCCTCCCTCCTCCTCCTGCTGGCCGTTTTGTGCGACCAAACACGCACCCCGGTCCAGTACCGACGCACTGGTACCGACCACCCGGCGCCGGGTGCAATGCGCCGTCAACCAAATCGTTTTACACCCAGCGCAGCGCAGTGCAAGCGCAGCATCGTCGGGTCGCACGCTACGCTGCATCGATGACTTCACCAGCCCAAAAAGGACCCGCGAGTCAGAGCGTGTCGTGTGTCCCCTCAACCCGACCCGGATGCCCGCCGATAGAGATCGGCGACAGATGGCTTTTCCGACACACGGGGGACGGACGGGAAACGCAGAGGCATCCCGGCAGGCACTCGGACATCATTCGCATTGTCCACAATCAATTCAATGCAATGCAATGCGATCAGTCAATCAAACGCCAGCCCAGCGACAGCCGCAGCCAGCATCCATGTCGTCATCACTCTTTTTCAGCTGCAATACAACCTCAACCCACGCTCACTCAGATGAGAACCGGACCGAGACCGAGTCAAACACGTACACGAAAGAAAAAAAAAAATCAAATAGCCAAGCTTGGGGTCTACAACGGCAATTGGGCAACGGCAATTCTACGGACAGGCGCATCTCTCTGCAACATTACCCGAAAACGAAAAAAATCTTGGTTTTGCAGGACAGGACAGTTGGCATTGCTTTTTTTTGTCTCTCTCTTCTATCTATCTCTCTTTGGGGGTCTTCCACCTTGGTTACTTACGGCGCAAACCGGAGGTTCGGCGCTCTGCTTTGAGCAAAGCGCCGGGAGCTACAGACCCAGGCTGGGTAGGAAAGGGGTATAAACAAACAGGGGCGTTCATGTGCGCAACATCTGATTGGGGAATAGGACTCATGTCCGGATCGGCTTTTTGTTTGGTCAGTTTTTCATGTGACTACTTAGACTATTAGATACCTTGGGAGGAATTGGAAACTGCTATTCGTTTGCTCTACCCTGGTTTTTTTTTTCCAAATCCCGCAAAAACTTGGTGTGTCGGTGTCGGTGTCTGTGTTCTGTCTATCTGCTGCAGCTCGCTGCTTCTGGCGGTGTAGGTAGGCTGCACGGCTAAAGGTTTATTTGGGTCATGGCCCTGCTACTTGGGGGTCTTGTTAAGATTAGAAAGGGGCAAAATGTCCAGGCTAGAGGTCATCGTGCATGAGGGCTGCGTGCAGCGCGCTCCATTACGACGACAACAGCAGCGCTGGATACTTTTTTTTTTTTTTTTGGGAAACCTCGTCGTCATGTTTGAAGCTAAACTCTGCAGAACACGATCGTGAAATCGGGCATACGGAAGCGAGCATCACAGTAGAGCCCGCCATGTCCAATAGAGTAATTCAAAAATACGAAGCATGTTCCAGGTTCTTGCGTCTCGACCATCCCGCATAGGTCACCCGCTTAGAGAAGCGAAACTTTACTGAGATTACTTGTCCCAAATTCGCTATTGAGATCCGCGGACGTCGCCTCGCTAGTGCTCTGTACGGTTGAAGCCATCAGTGCAGAATGGGGGCGGTCGCTGGCCTGTTCTCGTGGGACGGACACCTGCTGCTTACAGGGAGGCCACATGGCAATGCACTCGTAGAGGCAGGGCTAATGAATAGGAGCCAATTTCCGAGCGCAGGAAGAGGGGCGCCGCATGATGGGGATTGCAAGGCAGTCTGCAGGGCGTTTGGCCAAGGATAGGCTGGCAATATTGGGCAGCTAGCTGTTATGCCATCCCACTTCAGTGTCCAAGGGTCACTGTCTAAGAGAAGCAATAGCGGTTGTGGCCCGAACCCAGGAGCCATTTTGGATTTCTGCCCTAGCTTCAGCGCTTGAGGCCATTTGTGAGTAGTCAGCGCCGGATCCGTTGGTGCCGGGAGTAGGGCTTGCAGGGAACAGCCTCTCTGAATGTCGCTAACATCACGATCCTCCCCTAGTTTCACATCGTCGAAGGAGGACGAGTTCTAGACTTGTCACCTTCCTTCTTCGATCCCCCAGACCGGTCACGAGAGCCTCATCTCCACGATAAGGCCAAGTCATCCAGCTAATCCGGGGTCTGGACTCTGGGGTCTGGCCTTGATGCTATTCACCTTTGGCGCTTGGAGTCGACCAGAGATCCAGACCACAGTAGGCGGGCGTGCCTTGGGAATTTGGAGCAGGATAGAGAATTCACCTAGAGTAGCTCGAATAGCTCCCAGAGACTACGCTGCTAATGTCGGAGGCAGGCACTGCTTGCGGACACCGTATGGCGCCCCTCCCCGTTGCGTTGTGCTGCAGCGTGCGTTGCCCTCGAGTATGCGTGGCCCAAATGGTCTGAAGAATCAGAACACCTGCAGAACCTGCTCGCACCCACCTGCATCCACTCTGAAATAGGGATCTCCTCATACTCATCATCCACAGAGGAGGACCAAGATTATAGGCTCTTAAGATCGGAGACCTACTGTTGAGGACCTATTGGACCCTGCAGACAAGCGACTAACTAGCCCGATCCTCTAATGCAGCCACATGCATAGAAAACCTGCTTGTTTCAATCTGCACTTCGTAAATTCTTGCAGGGTTGCGCCTGGGCGACACACACAGCTGGGAACAGCGGGCTGAGTGCCAGCGTCCTGATGTGTGTGGGGCAGGATCCGCTAGAGCGCCGGTACTGCGCCGTCGATATGGGTTACGGTACCAGATGCTGAGAATTGGGAGAACCACTTGGTGTCAACACCGAAGACGGACACTTGGATAGGCGCTAATAACTTCCTGTCTAGTGGACTTAGACCAAGTGGCTAGGGGACCCAACCGGAGATTTCCTCCCAAGAAAGCCTTGGATCTGGTTCAAGTCCTCACATCGACCTGTGTTACCCAGATCTATCACACCCAAAAGCCACCACAGCAGCGACCATGATGCCGAAGCCAAAAGTACCGTAAGTGGCACAAATGACAGGACGGCAGAAGGAAAAGCTCGGTGGTATGGACCAATAGTGACAAGCTAAAGTGCGCCTTGGGAGGAAGGGTGTAGTGGGGAATAAGGGAACGATGCTTCCCTGCCGGCTTTACCTCTTTTGGCGTTTCCGGCGCTTGGCGCAGGACGATCACCTGCAAATGATAAATCATAAAGAGCCACAAGCAGAGTCCATCGGCGTTTCGGCGGTTGTCGGTGAGAAGATGACATGGCCCCGTGAAGATGCATTCAATAATCAAGCTCTGCAGACCAAGCCCGGCCATGCTAATAAGGTTTTTGTTAACGTCAACAGCGCCGTCACAGGAGCCACAATGGTGCTGTCATGACCCATCAGCCACGTGGCTCAGGGTGTGCAGAAATCGACTCAGGGTTCCACCCCGATCTCCTCGACGATGTCTCCCCCCATCACCATCTTGAAATGTGACGATGTGATCAGTCTGCCGGGTGTGGCGATCGCCTACTGCACTTAACGGCACAGATGGTATGATGCTGTCAACCCTGCCCGGCTGAACCTTACCTGTCGGTATGGAGGGTGTCCTGCACGCGAAGTGAAACTGGCCTTCCGTTGACGGTAAAGCAACGCAGGGAGGCATTCGTCGCTGCGCCCAGAACATGGGAATTATTCCAAATGGTTGCAGTGCATCAGGGCTCCTGCCGGATCTTCCACGTCAGGGGAACGGAGTTGCAGATGCGCGATCTTAGTCTTTGGAACTTAGTTCAATGCCAAGACCCCTTGGTGATTATTCGGCTTAGAAAAGGCCTTCTGCAGGTTAGCCGGCGCTATCGTAGTTCGGATAGCCTGAGGAAATCTGCGAGGGAGAACATTCTTCGTCTCATTTGCTGGATATGGTGCACTAAAGAAAAAAGACTTGTCATATACCATAGTGGAAGGCACTGCGGCCTCGACCCCGATGCATGTTTGCAGAGAATTGTCGCAAATTGGAAAGAATGGCTCGGAACTCGGCCGCGAGATCACTGTATGAGACAATACCATTCCTCTTGCCGCCCATTCGGCGTCTGGGTTTATCCGCAGAAGAAGTGCAGGACGGAAATTTTCGAGATTTGCAGGTGATATCATCGAAGCTGATCTCTAGGCTTAGGTCTGTAGGCCTACGGCATACAGTGCCGACCGCATAGATGGGCAGGATGCGCGTATTGCCAACTGAAGCTTATTGAGACACCCACGCTACCAATGTACTCCTCCGCCAGGGTAATAAACGATAATTCTCGAAGGATGAAGATACCAAATGTTGAGAGTCGTAATAATCATCAAGCCCTCGAAGGTTTTGTTTATTACTATGGTGCATCATCTTCAAGCAAGGTAGTAATCCCTCGTAGAGGAGGTGATGATATCCTTGCCGACTTAACGTTTATTACCCTGGCTGAGGAGTATAACCTCTGGTAATAGCGTCTCCCATCTGGTAAAGATCGTACCTGCAGAAATCACCCATTGGAGAGTGAGTAGATGTAGTTTATTGGGGGCCAAATGATCAGAGATTTGGCGATTTCATAGAACTTTCGTGCCTGAGGTGTGGTAACGAAAGTCAAGCATCGTCATCATCGCACTCCTTGATCGGCGGTGTCTTGACTGTTGTTTCCTCTTTCAGAGTTTTGATGGTGTCCCGGGGAACTATGTTTCCGACCGCAGCAGTGAGCCTCGAAGCCTGGCTCTTCACAAACAGGTGACCCTAGTAGTTGACACAGCGCCTCTACGCTGTGAGAATAGCGGCTCGGCCGAGGTGGATAGGCTTTAGAAGGGCCCGGCCTGGCGTTCCATGCAGTCTGGCATGAGATTAACTTTTTGCCAGACAGCACGCCGTCGAGTGCCGGTGTCCGCGGATAATCTCGCTACACGGACTAGCCGGCAAGGGCCGTAAGGACCACTCCAGGCTCCTCTGCTGGAGTTTGAGCGCTTTTGTCAGACCGAAGTGTTGGACAATGCCAGAGACATGAGTCGCTCGCAGCGCTTGGGTCGAGACTAAACAGGTCTCGTCATAGGGCTAGCCAATCGCAATTAGGCCATAGTTGATTATTGTGTACCAGCGTTCTTGGGACACAACATGAAAAGCAACAGGCGATGATCCGCAGTAAGTCAAGTGAAATACATGTCGGGATGCCCCCCAGTGAAGTGGTGCCGGGGCGGACCTGGTCGGCGTGGTACAATGGCCGGAGTCTGCCGGGGAATGCTCCGAACCGGCGATCAGTGCCGGCTTTTCCCCGATCTTTCCAGAGCACGGCGCCGGCGACCGCATGCACCTAGATATCTCATACTGGTTTAATTGCTTAATCAGCTCTGACAAGGTAGGACGTCCAGTCGGGATGAGCGCAGGCCTCAGTTATATCGTCAATGGTATAATAGAGGAAATAAGAGGCAAGATGAAGTGCACTGGTTGGCAAGCGTGTCGCAAGTGCCAGGTGGGGCACTTGACCTCTGCGATGTAAGTGGTTGGCACCTCCTTCCCTCCCAAGCGCATCGCACCTGCCAACCTCAAATCACGGCCATTTTCAAGACACCACCCCAGGTGGCCGGTTCAGGTGGCTGAGTGGCTCGCCGAACAGAATGTGGCGGCCCCCTATAAGATTGCCCATTTCGCATGATATTGCAACGTCAACCCTCCCATGTCTCGGCGGTTTGATCTATCGCAGACAACCACCCCGCAGATGACATTCTATGGCAAGTTGGGAGGGTAGTAAACGCCGGTCCTCTAACAAACGGTACCTGGTAAGCAACGGGATCCCCGTTTATACCAGCTTGCTTAGGAGGGTCGAGAGAATATTGAATAGCTGGTAATAACCGGCAGAGATATAATTGTTAGTGCAATTGTACATATGTTCGGCACAAAATGCTGGTCCTTCCAAGCACTTCTATGGCTCCAGCAATGGTTACGCTGTGTGGCGAAGATGGCTTGCCGGCCGTCTCAGGGCGCTTTCTTCAGCAATGCAGCGTGACGACCCAGGCCTTGTTTGAGAAGTCCCGTTGGATCGCAAGAGAGCTCCAAAGTTGTCAAGAAATGGCCCACGAGGAAGACTCCAATGATGGATGTTTTCACACACAAGCGTGTGCTGAAGATGCATGCTCTAGAGCAAAGAGGTCAGTCCGGCCCCGGTCAAGAAGGTAAGGTGGTAGTTAACCTTGATGAGTCTGCGGCCAATCCAGTCTCATGGCAGACCCTCAGGCACGCGGCGACTAGCCAGGGGTCAAGCTTAGATTTCACATTTTCTCCGCATACTGGCTCTCGCTGTCAAAGTTCAATGTCCAGATCACTTGGCGGGAGTCGGCCAAGCTGTGTTCCTGGTGTGAGGCCCTTGTTTGCCATCTTGTGACGATCTTTCTCAGACCACTGGCAGCCAGTAGATCTCTCATGCGGACGGTATGTTGTGCAAGGGTCCTCGGCAGCGTTGCCATGTGCCGATGTGTCTGCAATGAAATGCAAATATATCTAGAATGGCACCGCGTCGTGTTTGCTTTCAATCTTGTCCCTTTTGTCCCAGTGCGGCCTCGACACTTTCGTTACGAAAGTCTCCTTTTTATAGTACTGTTTGCCGTTGGGTACTCTGGTCCCTAGACTTCAATATGGGCTCAGTACGACAGATCATTGCCGCTGTGCTTGCACTCGTGACTGCTGCTTTAGCTGCAACAGTCTGCAATGGCAAAGAGGAATATTGCAACCGCAAATACAGCAATATCACTCAGGTCGGTGCCCACGACAGTGCCTTCGTTGGCATTCTTCCTAGCCAAAATCAGTTCATCCCGGTCAAGGATCAGTTGAACTTGGGAGTGCGGTTCTTGCAAACCCAGTCACATGACAAGGACGGGACTGTCGAGATGTGCCATACGAACTGTGATCTGCTAGATCAGGGCAGCTTCGAGTCGTACTTAAAGCCTATCAAGACGTGGCTAGACAACAACCAGAACGATGTCGTCACACTATTAGTAGTTAACTATGATGACCTGCCGGCATCGAAATTTGGTGATGTCTTCAAGGCAGTCGGGCTGGACAAGTACGCCTTTGTGCCAAATGGGAAGATCGAGATGGACGAGTGGCCAACCCTTCAAGAGATGATCACGGCCGGCACACGGTTGGTGGTTTTTCTGGGTATGTTCTGATTGTCTGACGCATCGACCTCTTTTAACTGATGCTAACGAGAGGATAGATGATCATGCCGATACAAATTCTGTGCCATACATTCTCCCGGAATGGGACTATTACTTCGAAACTCCATTCGGCGTGACAGACAAGAACTTCCCAGACTGCAGCTTGGACAGGCCAGCGAACTCTTCACCAGACGGCAAGCTTATGCTTGTGAACCACTTCCTGAACATAAAAGTGTTTGGAATCAAGATTCCAGCTCCTTTTGAATCTCCCAAGACGAATTCAGTGTCATCCATTGTTGCGCAGGCAGACCTCTGTACTGCGAAATGGGGCCGGGAACCGCAAGTTATTTTGGTTCGTCTCTCTATCCCTTCAAAGCCCTTGCAATTAAACAAGGTCTTTCTGGTAATTTTGTTCATGGAATGTGTTATGAGTGGCTGATCATTCATTTATAGCTCGATTTCGTGAATATGGGTGATGCGATGGGTGCTCAGACAGCTCTCAACAATGTGAATTAACGAGAGTATTCAACAACCACCCATCATTATGAAATTTTAGCTCAAGGCCTTACATAATTACTATAATCTCGGAAGATACCAAGTTTTTTCATGAGACAGCTGTGGTATAGGTAATAAATACCTGAAAACTGCAGATGCAGGTGTATATAATGATGCTGGCATTAATGCGGGGCGATTTCTTCCTTCCGCTTCAATATGTAATGTAATAACTTAGTACTGTATATAGAAAATGAGGCGAATTGATACCCCAATTGAACGCGGAAAGGTGTGAGGCTGTGTGAGATCGCGACGGGTAGGTAATGCTCAGCTGTCGGGCGGGCGAGCATGTGCACCCACCTGAGTCCTGATTCGCTAAAGCGTCAGGGGCGGCCGGGGCACCACACCGTCCTACAGAATTCAGTCACCGAGGAGCGAATCTTGCAGGACCCCGCCACAAAACAGTTCTAGGCAGTAAGATGCCTTTTTAGAATTGCGCCTCGTGTGTCAGTCTTATCTCCCGGCTAGAATGGATTTAAAGGCTCAGCACATGGCTAGCTAACCTTCTTTCCCGTTTCGTGGTCTTTGCATTTGTACGATATTACTTTCGTTCTCCAGGATATCAACGCTTATTGCGAAGAACTGGGAAGGCGAGCCAGAGACGGACGGGATGGCGCTGGCAACGGGCAAGGAACAGTCAGTCAAGTCTAATATTTGGCTGGCAGCAGAAGGGGGCTATTCAGACAAAGTCAAATCTCTGTGCACATCGGATCCTAGGCTGAGACAACGTGACCCCAAGGCGACAACGCAGAAGACCCCATGGGAAGATTCCGGCGTGAGGGTTGTCACACTAGATATGGAGCCTGACGGCTCATTCGGCAAGGCGCTCGAATTCAGACATCCCGAGAAGCTCGATGTACACCTATCAAAGTTCTCCTCGGCGCCTGGGAAACGGTCAGTGTATATTCTTGAAGGAATCGGTCCTGGATTTACCTCTATTCTCGGAGATCATTTCTCCATTCACCCGTCATTCTTTCTCGAGCATGAAAGAGTGATTGTGATGAACCGGAAAGCACAAGGTGAAAGCGATGGGCTTGCTCTGCCATCCATGCTAGAGACAAGGGAGCATGTCTCTCTGAGGTACTTCGAACCCCTTCAATTCGACAAAATACCGGAGAGCTTCCGCCTTGTTTGTGCGTCTACTGGACGTCATATAGGTGTCCAGCGCTCAGATGGCGAGTTCCTGGATGTGGGCATCATCAGGAGAAAATGTGGCATGTGGGTGAGACGAGAGCAGCAAGGTGATGGTTGGGACTGTCTCGTCATTTGTGACCCACCAGTTACCAAGGTCAGGACCGGCACGGAATACAGTAAAGAGTATAGCGTCAAGACATCTCCTTATCAAGGAGGTTATGTTGACTTCACCCCACAATCTGCGCAGATGAGATTGCGCAAATCTTCACGCCCAGGCCCGCCGAGAACATGCATGCTCGATGATCTGGTGTTCTACCTTCAGTGCCACGGCACCTCAGTTCTCGCAAGTACCAACTGCGAGCCGGACCGCATGCTTCTTTCAGACCCAGATGCTGTGGTCGGTACTTGGGTGCGCAAAATTATCGCTTCGCAATACCACAAGCATGCCGAGCATCTCCGCGCTACGCTGTCTGCCGCCCAAAGAGCCTTGTCAAGAAAGCATGACCTCGCCGAATTTCCAATGGAGAAGGTCGAGGAACTCTGGTCTGACGTGCAAGCTTGGGAGCGTCGCATGGGCGAATACTGTGAGGACCTCGAAAGTATCATGCTACAGCTCGGAATCCCTTTCAAACACCCTATAACGGCGGTATCTGGATATCACGCTCGCGATACGACTGTGAGAGGTACAGGATTATCATCAATAGAAATCCCACCGAGTCCTCTTGCCAGTCCTAGCCCCAGCCCTTACTCTATGAGCAGAGTGCCCACAATGACTGTGGGTATGGGTGGTGGTATTGAGGATATGACTAAAGCCAGCAGGTGGTTGGATAGCACAGCAGATTTTCAGTTTCTTCTCATGCGATTCCGCGAGTTAAGACACCGAACCGAATGTCTTAACGCAGCAGTCACAGGTCTTGCGGGGATTACCGGGAATCGTCAGGCGTACAAAGAACAACAATTGGCGTTATCGACAGCGCGGCGCTCAATCCGTGAAGCGAAGAGCAGCAAGGCTGTGACGCTTCTGGGGCTGATATTTATCCCACTTGCCTACACAAGTAGTGTTTTCAGTATGACCGAACCATACGGTCCTGGCGGCGAGCAGTTCTGGCAATACTTCGCAGCGTCTCTGCCACTTATTCTGGTTGTGCTAGCTGCATATTACGTCCTTGATTTCGGGTACACCGATGATGGAACGGCTTGGAGCATGCAAACGTTCCTCAAGACAATGAGAAAGAAGATGGAAAAAAGAAGACCGCAAGAGATGATAGTAGAAGCAAAGAGGCCAGACAGTCCTTGAAGCCTTCGTCATACAATGAACGCTGACATAGCTCGCATTTCTGATAGAAAGTCGTCTTGATAAAGTGCAGTGGTCTAGTCACAGATGTATTAGCACATCGTTTAGAGTGGCATCATGAATTAGTAATGACATAGCGCATTTGATATTTAACCAGGCTTGACTTTACTGACGACCATCTGGGCTGCTTGATTGCCGTAAACACAGTCTACATCGCAGAGATCTCAAGATAGCACTGATAGACAAATGATCAGAAAAGCCCGAAGAAACATCAGCAACCTATGACAGTTCGGGTGTGATTCGGCAGTCGTGACAGGGGTGCCTGCAAGCGACCAGGCGGGGATTGGCGTGAAACTGCTGTCCTGCATTGAACCAGACCTATCACAACAGCACTATTAATAACTGCGGAGAGCTCTCCCTCCTCACTGACTCAAGCGTCTGCAGTGCATCGGAACGTGCACCTTCCCCACGTTACTTCACCTTGATGAGGTAGGATATTCGAGAATTCCTGCCAGTTGTTCTCACTGGCGTTGACTACAGCGTTGACTACCTAAAATCCGTGAATTACACCGTTACTTACCTATCATCCTATAGTACATAAAGATGATTAGCAGCAAGAAGAACAAAAACTGGAAGAATAGAAAACGAAGCGCCATGAAAGGCCAGCCGCTGGCCATCACTTGGCGAGTCCATGTGTGGTTGCAAATATAGACACCAAGAGCTCAGTGGACAGGGGAGTGAGCGGTTAGACAGCGAATGAGCGGTTGTGCCTTGCGCTCTGAAGTCGAGAAAAAGGCTGCATGCCATAAGACCCTTCGATTTGGGCCTGATGGGAATAGTTATCTTTTAATAAAACTTGAGATTCTCTTTTCATTTCAAATCGGATGATTCTTACAAGTTCTCAAGAGACATACTAATTGCAGTCATTCATCATGTTGGCCAGGAAGCTCAGGCAGCTTATGCTGGCTACAGCCGGTAAGCTTAAATTCCTTCCCCCACATGGCTTCGGGAGTTAGCATCAGGGGGGCCTGCCACATGGCTTGGCATAAGACCCCTCGTGGGGGATATGCTTCATTAACCTCAACCTCAACCTCAACCTGAACCGAAAGAATGAGTTCGCAGAGACTTGGGTAGCTAATTCATATGTATAGTCTTCTTCTTTTTAGTTCCTTCTCTTGCAGCTCAATCTGCCTTTATTGCACCTTCTGAATCCATCGGGTTCGGCATAACAGTCCCGGAAGACAACGATGCCGACTTATATTTCACGATTGCTATGCCAGTCGGCCAGCAATGGGCAGCAATTGGCCTCGGCTCTGACAAGATGGCTGGCGCCCTTGTATTGATGATATACTCTTCGAGTTCAGACAAGAATGTCACCTTCTCACCCCGGCTGGCTAAAGGCCACTCCGAGCCCGAATTCTACAAGGATCTTAAGTACGAGACATTGCCCGGCACAGGCTTCATCAACAACACATTCGTGTACAGCGCTGTGTGTCATAATTGCCGTTCATGGCCTGGCGGAAACCTCGATGTAACCGCGACGGACCAGAAGTGCATCTATGCCGCAGGGCCTGGTGGATTCGTGAAAAGCAACAGTCAGAAAGAATCAATCAAGTATCATTCGGAGTTTGGGCACTTCACCGTGGACATGAAGCACGCAACTGGGCCGGCTGGTGAACCATCACTCAATGGGGACATCTCAGCTGATGGCATAACGGTTGGGAAGTGGGCTGGAGGAAAGCGAGACTGGGCCGCGATCATGCATGCCGTCATTATGGTTGGATGCTTCGTTGGCCTCATGCCGCTTGGCGTTCTCATACTGAGACTAGGTGAATGGGTCAGATGGCATGGTGTGAATCAGTTGCTTGCTTTGATCGGTGTGATTGTTGGCTTCGGGCTTGGAATATCTATCAGCCTGCGCTATGTGAGGGTAAGTGCATGCATGTATTGGCCTTTGTGAAAAGCATCCATGTTGACCATTTCTCAGTCAAAGAAGTTCAATACTGCTCATCAGATTATTGGTTTAGTGGTATTCCTATTCCTCATCGCTCAGTTTCTCCTGGGATTCTTCCATCACCGGATTTACAAACGGACCCAACAACCAACTAAGCTAGCCCCTATTCACGTCTGGTTGGGTCGCCTGACCATTCTGCTTGGCATGTTCAACGGCTTCCTTGGATTTCCCCTAGCACTATCACCAACTTATAATTGGATCCTTATGGGGCTGATACTCGCTGTTATACCAATATGCTTCTTCATGCTCTTCTGGAAGAGATTCTTCCGTAAACGACGGGAGCGCCAGCACGCGGAGGAGATGGCTAATCCATCCGGACACCATGGCTTCAACCACGAGCCATGGCGGAATCAACCTACTCAAGGAGGGTATGATGGTGGCCATGGCAACTATAATGCCGGATACGGTGAACACGGCATTGGTTTGACGGATATGAGGAGTCACGATCTGAACTCCACCGCGAAAGAAGCGAGATCTAGCACTAGAGAGCTAGGAACACAGCAGAACCCAAGAGAATATGTA